GATTTCTGCTAGCAGGTTGGCCCAATATCAGGCAGTGCTGGTTGAACAAGATGATGTTACTTTAAAAATGTCTTCAACTTTGAATCCTGCCACTTTAATAAAGTTAGGTGAGAAAGGAGAGCTGGAGCATGACTGCTAAACATTATGGAACAGGTATATACTCTAGCCGACCTGATCTGAAAGGCACACTATTAATTGGCCCAGAAGTTGAATTTTGTCACAGATGGAAGTAGCTTCATGGTAAAGGGAGAGCAGAAAGCTGGGTATGCTGTGGTAACCCTACAAGAGGAGGTTGAAGTGCAAGCATTGCCGCCTCGCACCTCCTTTCAGAGAGCAGAAATCATTGCCTTAACACAACCCTTAGAATTATCTGAAGATAAAAGAGTCAACATCTATATGGATTCTAAATATGCATTTGGAGTAATTCATGTTCATGGAGAAATTTGGAAGGAACGATGATTGTTGATGGGTCAGGGTAGCCCTATGAAGTATGGAAATGAAATGATAAAGCTACTACAAGCGGTTCTAGAACCTAAAGAAGTAGCAGTAATGAACTGTAAATCCCACCAAAAGGGTCAAGGAAATACTATTATTTGGAACTGGTGGGGAGATATGGCAGCAAAAAGAACAGCATTAAAAGGATTAGTGGTTGGAGCCTTGGTGCCTGGAGAAAAATTAAACTTACAGGTAGCTAAGCATACAGAAAGGAAAGATAAATTATCTGAAACTCTGAAGTGCTTGAAGAGTCCTGAGGGATGGTGGATAACACCAGAAATGCAAGCTTTAGTACCTGAAAGAATCATTGAACTTCTGCGTAAGAGATTACATTGAGAGACACACATGGGATCTGGTGCGCTCGTATTGGCAGTAAAAAAGTATGCAGTAGGGCTGAGAATACAGAGCCACGCAAGCATAATTGTTAGGAAATGACATACTTGTGTTAATAATCCAAAGACTGAAAGAAAACCCTTGAGTGGAATTGTGAAGAGGGGTATTGCCCCAGGGGAATACTGAAAAATTGATTTTTCAGAGCTTCCCAAATGTAAACAGTGTAGATATTTACTTGTACTAGTAGGTACCTTCTTCTGGCTGGCCTGAAGCCTTTCCTTGTCGTACCAATAAAGGAAGGAAGGTAGTTAAGGTAATGTTGAAAGAAATAATTCCTAGGTTTGGTATCCCAGAAGGCATATAATCAGATATTCGGGGCCCATTTTGTAGCAGAAATAGTACAGGAAACTTCTAAACATTTATAGGTTAAGTGGGACATACACACCCAGTGGACACCACAATCTAGTGGAAAGACAGAAAGAATGAATTAAATCCTTAAGAGACAACTTGCTAAATTATGTCAAGAAACACAACTTAAATGGGTGGATGTTTTTCCTATTGCATTACTGAGAATGAGAATTACCCCTCAGATGAGAGAAAGAGTTAGCCCATTTGAAATTGCATATGGGAAACCCTGTCTGGCAAATTGTTTGATCATAAAGGAAGATCAGGCGCATGTCAAAGGGGAAGTCACGTACCAAAATTATCTGATATCCCCGTCTCAGAGTTTATTCTTTTTGCATAGGTACCTTAATCAGCAAGCTCCACTCCCACTGGATGTGCTGGTTCACTATTTTCAACCTGGAGATCTAGTCTATGTTCACACCTGGAAAGACAAACCACTGAAAGAAAGGTGGAAAGGACCCCTCCCTGTCCTATTAACCACCTATACAGTAGTAAAAGCACAGGGGGTATACTCTTGGATTCACTATACTAGAGTCATAAAGACCCTGCCGTGGGACCAGTGGACCACAACACAAACAGAAGGACGCAACGTTAAGTTTGCAAAATCTGATTAATTAATTGTACATGGGACTGTAGGGAATCATACAAATGTTTGGAGTGTACTTCAGAATTATGACTGCCAGTTTTAGGAATTCTATTGGCTTTACCCATAGCGATATTTTTAGTGCAAAGGATGACTGATTTTTTAAAACCTAATAGGTCTCAGAATGTGTATTCTTCTAGTGTTACTGATCTTATTCTTCATTCATTATAGTGATGGAAATCTGGTTCTTAAATTAATTCAAGATTTTGGGAAAGTTCAGAATGTCTCTTCAGTAACAGCTTGTTTACCCACCCCTAAGTCAACAGAGGATCCTATACCCTGGGGAGTGTTTACCACAAATTTAACTTCCATGTAAAAGTACATGTGGGATAATAGCCATACCACTTGGGAATGGTATACTCGAAAAGGTAAAGTACACTTTAAAACTGACGATTAAAAATGGAACAGTAACTGATTGCAATATAACAAAGCCAGAAACACCTTGGACCATAGAAATAATTTACGGACCATCAGAAGATCAGTGTTACCAACTTGCCCTGAGGTTGTCAGACTCCTCAAATATGGATTATACCCCTGAGAGGTCATTGGGATTATTCCCAGTCAGCTCAGTGGTGTATCATTATGAAGACTAATGAAGGGACACCTGAGGATCCGTTACAAGTAAGTTTGAAATACTCTGATTTAAATTACTCTTGAACTGTGGAGAAATTGAAATTTAAACATTGGAATTGCACAAATATTTACAATTGCAGCAGTATAAATCCTGAGATACAGAGGATAATGCCAGTTGCTCAGACTTTACGAATGGGATGTATATGTTGAAATTATACTACTTGCCTAAATGACACACGGTCATATCTGTCAAATACTGAAACCTGGGAGGACTTTAACTGTAACACTCAAACAATTTTGACCTTGGAACATACAGTCTGGATTAGTAGTGATGGGAAACGGACATTTCATCTTCCCTTGAATGGGAAAATAATGTATTGGATGCTAGGGACATTAATCTTATGTCCCTTATGGAGGAAATCACCTCTGGACTCCAAATTGTGGGAAAAAATAAGAAGCAGTCCAGATCCTTGGCAACACCCAAGTGCTGACACCACTATAGGATGGGTACTAGAATCTATATTCACTCCACAAATATCCTCATTAAGAAATAGATTAACGATTCACAATTTTACATTACAGATGGAAACTCTGGCTAACGCCACCCAAACAGGGCTCTCAGAATTAAACACTCAGTTACAAGCCACATCTAAAATGGCTTTGCAAAATAGGTTGGCATTAGATCTGCTTTTATTACCTCTACATGATGTTTGTGGATAACTTTGATCTCAAAAATGATAGTAGCTGTATACACATCCCCGATGCCGCTGGGGATTTAGAGACTTAAATAGATAAATTTCGCCAAGTTGCTAAAGTTAGGCATGAATTGCATGCTGGACTAGAAGGATTAAACAAACTGTTACATGGACTGGGATTTTACTTAACTAGCTGGTTGGAAGGGTTACTCCAAAGTATCATGGTAATTGTTTTGATTTTAAGAATTCTCTGTACTCTTTTAAACTGTATGAAAAAACTACTGATCTGAGCCACATCTGATCGGTATGTAATGGTGCTGAGAAATCATTGTGAGATCTCTGAGTCTTTTTGAAAGAAAAGCCTCATAGTCTTGGAGGGGGGAATTGTTGCAACCGAAACCAGAAAGGAACGCAAGGTTGGAATTCCCAGGAATCAGTTCCTGATAAATTGCCTTGCTAACGACTATACCCTTGAACAGAAACTAAAAGACTGATGAAAAGGGAACATCCTGCCCCAGAAGGTGCCAAAAGCTGGATGATTGCCCAAGAAGCACGAAATCAGCAAAAATCTGTGGTAACTGGGGGAAAGGTAAAGGCAACAGGGGGGGATGGCAACCACCGACTCAATTCAAGACTAAAAAGTCTTGCTGCCTCACATCTGTAAGGAGCACGCGCGCTAATTTACTCAGCAACTGAGGCTAATTTAAATATAACTAATCAATAGCAGATGGAAAGGTAATTACCGACCAGTGAGTGTAAATTTAGATCAGTTTTTACTAATCATGTAACAAGATGAATAGGCTGTAGTTCCTTTGTGTGGCGTGCTAGCTTTGCAAATCTGTGCCTTGCACCCTGTTCTGCGCGGAATTGTACAATAAAGTGAATACCTCTACTCCGTGTGTGCTTGGCGAGTGCACACCGGGTACCGAAACCGATTTGGGACAACAGTACTACGTGGGGGAAGCTGGGGGGAAAGCAAGGCTCATGGTGGTCCCACTGTGGGTTGCATGAGGTGGGCGGGAGGACGGGGCTGAAAAACTCGCCAGGGACGAGACGATGTGCAGGGTCGGCAGGGACTGGGGGGGCCCGGGCACGGAGGGGGAAGAAAATGGAGGTGGGGCGGACAACCGGTGGCTAAACTGGCACGGAGGGGGGAACGGGGAATGAGTTGACGGCCCAGAGGAACCTGCTCCGAGGGCCGGGCAAGAGGTCGGCAGGACGGGAGGCTTTTTCAGCATCGGGTGCACGAGGCGCCCACATCCAGCGGGGCTGTGCAGGGCCACGCCACGCTGTGGGTGGGGGGTTATATATTATATTCTGTATCCTATACTCTTTGTACTGAGCAACAGTATAATCTTGCACCTTGTCAGCTTTATGAGCAGGGGAGGAGGAAGGGAAAAGCAGCCTTCATTTCGATTTACAATCCTGCCCGGGGACACTTTTTTTTTTTTGCCTTTTTTCCGCCTTGGGCTTTTTGCCCCTTCCTCGCTTGCCCTGGCCTTGGTCGTCCTCCTTGGGGAAGGCTCCTGGCGCGCGCCGTGGCCACTGGCCGCAGGCTGGCGATGGCCGTAGGGCCACCTGGCAGCTCCTTTTAGTGGCGGTGTGCAGCGTTTGCGCCTCTGTGCTCCCTCCGGAGGGAGGGAAAGAGGGAAAAAAGGGAAAGAAGGAGGGAGGGAAGGACTGAGGGAGGGATGTCCGGGCTGCGCCGAGCGGTTTCCCGGGCAGGGAGTGGGGCGTGGCTTTGCGGGGGGGGTGGGCGTGGCTTGCGGAGGGGTGCGGGGCGGGGCTTGCTGTTATGGGGCGGGGCTCGCGGGGGCGGGGCTCGGCGGCGCAGTCAGCTGACGCCGCGGCACTGAGGGACGGCGGGTTGAGGAGCGTTCGGTCTGTCGCTGCTGTTTGCTGTCTGTCCGTCCGTCCGTCATGCTGCGGCTCCTGCTCCCGCTGGCCGGCTTAGCGGCGCTCCTCCGGGCGGCGGTGAGTCCCCTGGCCTCCCTCTCCGCTGTTGAGGGCGGCCTCGAGCTCTGAGGGGCTCCCGGCGGGAGAGGACAGTTACCTGTGCTCCGCTGTTAACTCCTCAGTGTGGTTTGGGGGTGATGGTGCTTAGGCCGCTGGTGCTGGGCTGGGAGGGGGTGGCTTCTTTTCCCTCTCCCGAGCAGGCCGGCCCGCTCCCGGGCGCGCCGGGCCTTCGGGGCGGAGAAGCCGTGTGAGGCCTCAGGGAGGGGGTGGAGTGGGGTGGTGTGTGGGTGGGAGTCGAGCGGCGGTTACCTGACCCCGCCGCTCCATTAGCAGCCGCCACGGGAAAAACTCGCTCTTCCTGTGGCGTGGGAGAGGAGTTCTTCCCGTTCTGCCCAGGTTCAGCATCGGCTCTTGCCGCTGCTTTGCCTTGCCGCTTACGCCTTGAGCTCTAAACAGGGTGTCGGGTATTGTCTTGCCGGGTGTCATAGCTGAATGATGCGCGGGTGGTTTAAGCTGCGTGAAAAAATAGCGGAGGGTCCTGGGAGGCCTTTGTCCCCGGGATGCCTGGGTGGCCGTGGGTATGGTCTCTGACGGGTGGGGGGTTGTGGCTGAGACAAAATGCTGAAGGTTGTGGGTAAGAGGAGTTGAGAACCAATGCTCACCAAAGAGGGACGCTTGGTAGATTTAGTACGTTAGTTTAAAATAGGTAAAATACTTTAAAAATACAGTGAATTTCAGGAATCTGCTGATATGGGAACTTGTGGAAGTGGACAGTATTTCACAGATTCCAAAAAAGGATTAGCCTGATGAAAATGCATCAGGTTTCATAAACAACAGCCAGAAATGACTAGGCAGCGTGAGGGACCAGGGTCATGTTGTTTCTTTAAACATCATTTCTTACTGCTGTTGTCCAGACAGAATATGACCTGGTGTCTAAAGGAACTGTGGACTCAAACTAGTAGGGCATTTCTTATGCTCTTTTCTTCCTAGCTTTATTTTCTGTAGAGTCATGTGTGTAAAATAGCACTGTTTTTTAGGAAGAATTTTGTAACAGCTGAGAGGGCTTGAGGAACTGAGCCTGGCAGGCACAATTTCTTTTTCAACCCCCAGTTCCCTGACCAAACAATGAGGGAAGGGGTCTTTTTAACACTTGGTCTAGCCCTCAAAATATAGTGGGGTGCTACCATCACATCCTTTAAATTAGCTTAGGAAAGTATATACTGCAGATAAACAACGTGGTAAACTTGTGTTTCTAGACTTCTGGGCTCAAGATCACTGCAGAGCCCTACAAGGCTGCTTTTGTGCCCCAGTTCTGAGATATTTTTGGCTGTAATGATTGCTTACTTTTTCTCTAGTTGTGTGCACTGGAAGACAGGAAGTATTTTGAAAGTAAGCGTATGCCACTGCATGGCTTTAAATAAGGTGGTTTGTTATCTCAAACTTGGTCTCTATTGTATGTTGTGAAAGACCATCCAAACTTTTTTCATCTATGGTTAAAATAAAACAGTAGGTTTATTTTAAATAGAAATGTGCAAACTGGGCGTTAGTAGAAACACTGTGAACTCTGAGCAAAACACAGAGCAAAACAAGGATTTCTGGTACGATTCAAATATAACTGATGCTTGCTTGTTTATTTTCAACCCGGGAGAGGAGATGCATTAGACTTAGTGCTTCCTTTACTTTTAAAGGAGTGAAGTGTGTGATGTTTTAACCCCTTTTTAATTTAGTTGCATCCTGTTAGACCAGCATGTGCTGAAATAGATGTTGAGTCTTGGGAACTGTACATGTAGTGGAAGTGAGCAGCAAAACACAATGTGAGTTTCACTGGTCCTGCTGATCTTGAGGGCTTTAGGGAAGTCTTACTCACCGCTGGAGGCAAGGATATCTGCTGATACATCATCTGCAGTTTCTGGGACCACAGTTGCATCTGGTAGCTATTGCAGAGGGGATTCCACTGCTGCTGTAGCCTGTGTTAGTAGAACTTCTTGCATTTGGTAAGAATGATGTATGGTGATACCTACTTTTGAGATGGAGCCAACTGCTGAGTAGGAAGAACAGAAGACACACGTGCTAACTTAACAGCAGAAGCAGCTTAGTCCCAGAACATGTATGGGGTTTACAAATACTGTAATGATTGTTTGCAAGTAGCATAATAATTGTTTCCAGGACTCTTTGCATCACTGTTGTGATCTGTTGCCATCTACTATAAGGAAGTCTTAATGAGGAAAGTGTGTATAAAAAAAAAAAGGGGGGGGGGAGGAATCATTGAGGGAGGCAGGCTTCCTCTCTGTCTTTATGATAGTGATTCTGCATGACCCACACTCTGGGTCATGCAGAGTAACAGTCGTCTATGTACAGAGTAACAGTCGTCTATTGCAGTCTGGGAAAAAGGGAATGTATGTAATATTTTGAAACGGCTCATACTGGTTCCTGGTTGCAGGCTTTGTTGACCCAAGGCATCCCTTCATAACCACATTATTGCCTACTGGAGACTTCTGTAGAACAGAAGGGAGCAGTCAGGAAGCAAAGATGATCTTCAAGCAACTGCCCCTTGAAGCAAAGGCTGCAGTGGCTGCAGGAATGGTTTTCTTCTCCATGATGCTATCGCGGAGTTATCTGGCAGAAAAACTCGATCTCAGGACACGGCGCTGGCTTCTAAGGCTGCAGATGGCCCTATTTGCTAATGCACTCATGTTGATAGGATCTCTTCATGTTTGGAGAAGCACAGTCACCACGTTCTCCAGGTCTTCGGCTGCCAGCTCCTTCTGTTTCATGCCGTGGAAAATAGCTGTGTTCATGTTTCTAGCTTTGGCTCATTCAAGTTTCTTTACATTGCTATTTCTTGTTGCGGAAGAGCCCTATTTCTTTTCTTTAGCTGCTTACACTTGCCTGGGGGCCTATATCATTCTTATCTTCTTCCTCTTCACTCTAGGCTCTGTCGAGCAGGCTTACAAATTCTTGGCTGGGAGAGGCGCTAAGGCAGGCACTGGCAGCAAGAACAGAACAGCGATGAAACCTGTTTTGGCAGTCATGTTGACTGTTGTGCTGACTGTTGTCGGTCTGTTAAATGCTTCCCAGCCTCCTACTGTGAATTCAGTGGAGGTTCCAGTTCACAAGCTGCCTTCAGCAATGAATAATCTGAAAGTGGTGTTGCTTTCAGATATCCATCTGGGGCCTACGGTTGGGAAGACTAAGCTTGCTATGATTGTGAGAATGGTTAAGGCTTTAAAACCAGATATCACTGTGATTGTTGGAGACCTGACTGACTCTGAGGCAGAGATCATACGACCTGCTGTTGAGCCTCTTGGAGAACTTAACTCCCCTTTGGGAACTTACTTTGTCACGGGAAACCATGAGTACTACACGTCAGATGTTAGCAACTGGTTTGAGCTGTTAAAGTCATTTAACATTCGGCCACTCCATAATGAGAATGTGAAGATTGTTTCACCAAAGAGCACTGATGACTGGTTCTGCCTGGCTGGCGTTGATGATATTGAAGCAGATGTATTACGCTACTCAGGACATGGTATGGATTTAAAAAAAGCTCTCAGAGATTGTAGTAGTGAGCATGCAATAGTGCTGTTAGCTCATCAGCCAATTGCTGCAAAGTGGGCCCTTCAGGAAAGACCAGACATAAATTTAATTCTTTCTGGCCATACTCATGGAGGGCAGATGTTCCCACTAAATGCTGGAGCTTATTTTCTGAATCCATTCTTTGTTGGCTTGTACAAAGTTGGGCAGAACACCTTTGTCTATGTCAGCCCAGGGACGATGTACTTTGGAATACCCATGAGGTTGGGCAGCAGAGCTGAAATAACAGAGATAATTTTACGTTCTCCTTGAGGAGTTTTCCATTTGACAGACTTCTGCTTTCTTTTTTGGTCAGTACATTCATTGGCTCTTCTGCTCCGAAAGCAAATCCTTTTTCAGGGAAGCCAGAGAAGATGTGTTGGGGTGGACTTCAGCAGGTTCTGTAAAGCTTGAGCAGAAAACACTAACTATATCCTGGGCCTATGACACAAATTGGGGGCATGTTAAAATGTTGAAGAAATTAATACTTTGAGTTCGTTATTATTGAGGTTCTGCATTTAAAGGTAACACTGATGTCATGGAGATAATGTGTGTCCTGTGCATGTTTAGTAATATCTGTGTCTTGCGGCTACTTCATGTTCCACTGTTTATCCATCAGGCAGCTCCTTGTCAAATCTCAGACAGGGGAAGTTCTGATCTCTTGCAATGAAGTTGCTCATGCATGTTTTCCAGATGGGACTACAGTGTCCACTGAGTATGTAAACTCTAGAAACTTATGCTAGAAATGTTATGGGAAGGGTATAATTGTAGGTTGGTGTTTGTTTGTTTTTTGTGGGTTTTTTTTTTTTTTTGTTTGGTTGTTTTTTTTATTGAGGCTGGATATCTTTATGCCGCTAGCTGTCTACAGCACGCACCAGAGCTTCCAGTCTGTGCTGCTTACTGGTACAGTAAGTTGCCAGGTATCAGTTCCTGAAATTCAATTTTTTCCAGTTAAAAAGGTGGGAAGACTGATATCAAAGGGTGAAAGTAGCAGTCTTTCTGCAGGCATTTTCCCTAGAATAACTGGGCATCTAGTAATTACTTACTGAAAATAGCTCTAATAAAAGCAAATGAGAAATATTACAAGTTTTCTAATCTCTGATGCTATCAGAGCATACAGTACCTCTTGATGTAAAGCACAAAATCCAAAGCTGAAATAGTCTCTATTCATTCTTTATTTTTTTGTGTATGCTTAATTTCTCTTCTGTGATTTTTTTTTTTTGAAAACAATGCAAATAAGTTAATGCTTGGACTTTGTTTAAGGTTTTAACATTTCAAGTAAATAGTGTCCTTTTTAAGAAGACTAAACTCTGCAGCAGGTGATTTTCCTTATTAGCATCTGCGTATCAATGTCCTGGTTGTCTAATAGGCACATAGCAGAATAACTGCTACAGGATAATGAGGAATGAAGAACTTATCTCCATCTTGCCTAGAAGAGCTTAACACAAATTAATACCATTCTGGGGAATTTGAGACATTAGAAAATACTAATAAGCATATTCTTGCTTCCATATCTTTTTGTTCATTTAAGAAAGCCAGGATGTAGATTAATGTCTGTATATTGTCCAGGCTGATAAAGCAGTTTACTTCTGTACGTCTTCCCCTTCAGTGTTGCTGCGTGAAATGCCACGAACAACACAAGCCTGGGAATCCTGCCTCTGACATCTGCAGCTGTAGCCACAGGGTTTCCCCGGCTCTGCCTTTCTGCCCGCCAGCGCCCGAGTCCCGCTCGGGCAGAGCCATGAAACACGGGGCAAGAGATCAGTGCTTGCAGGGGAGGCAGAGGATGGCAGGACCAGAGCTGTGGTGGTCAAGTCTTGCCCTGCCTTCTGGTGTGATCCTGAACCACACACGCTTCTGTTTTATTCTTCAGCTCCTGTTCTCGTTTCGCAGGTAGTGTGTGTAGGGGGATGTATTTGAGGAGTACCACAGGCTTTGAAAAGTTAAGTTTTTCTGTAAGTGAAGTTTTGAAGTTTCACTTCATCTACTCCCTTCAGCCATTCCTGGCAGAGTTTCTAACTGCTAAGCTGGTTTTGTATCCTGTTGCTTTGTATAATCATCTTGCATTTTTACTCACAGGAGTATTGAGAAATACTGTAAATGTCATGTGCACTGGAAGTTTGGTGGAAGAGTTGGAGAAGTCAGTCTTCTTTTAGTCTGAAAACTGAACACCTGACCAGCCAGGCTCTCTACTTGCCAGACTAGATAATTTCTGCTTCCCAGCACCTATAATTTTGTAAACTTTTTAATGCGTGGGCAGTAATATCTGCTTAAGTATCTTAAAGTTTCCAGGTGTGTTTAACACTGCCCACTGCCCACATGGGGTCCTTCTGAAGTTCTTTTCCATTGGTGGCAGTGTCAAATGGTCTTGTGTAGAGAGAATCTTAATAGCCTGCAACCCTCTGTTCGCTTATCACCATGCCTTCAGTTAAAAGCTGTGTTGGAGGTTTAGTAGTGCAGGGTATTCCCTCTAGGCTAGTGGTCCAGGAGGATAGCTTTTCATTTGTTATGCTGAGGGTTATTACTGCGTTAAGAAGACTTAGTTGTTAAGCAAGTTTCTTTATCAGGAAGCTTTTGTGGGACTGGTTTTAGATGGTGTTAGTTTCCCAGTAAGTTGCTAGGTTTTTTTTTTTTTTTTTTTATTATTATTTTTTTCTCCTCTACCGTTTTTACTTCTTTCTTCATTCTGGCCAGATGTGTGCAAAAACCTAGCTGAAGTGATCCTTCAGTCCCAGGGCTGCATAGATGCCTTCTTCATTACTTTGTATGTGCCCCTCTTGGAATATCTTTGTGTATCCTTTCAGGAGCAGGTACATATCCATTTAGGAGTGGTCATATTATTATTTCATAAATTTGAATTCTTCCAATGTAATTTAGTTCTTGTTATTTTTTTTTCTTTAAGTCTCTCCATCTGAATGCTTTTTGATTGATGATTACTTATCACTTAAAATGTTTTCTTTCTGTGCCAAAACACTTCAAAGCCTTTTCCTATTTTGCCTTTTTTTTTTTTTAAGTATGAATGGAAGGTATCTTAGATCTATTTTGGTTTTGATAGTAAGGGGAATTAACCTTTTCTAAAATCTAAAACAACAATCCCTAGTTGTCCTTCAAGGTTTTTTCTATACTTTTTCAAATTTAACTTGAATGTATAAGATGTAGACTTGTGTTCAGTATTTCAGATGAAAAAAAAAAACCTGCTGTGCTGCTTATTTTGTAACTTTCTAAATTTTTTTTGTAAATCTTATTTTTGGTGTGTATAGAATGTATTAGATCTGGAAAACTTTACTAAATGAGTATACATTTCTTCCTATACAAGGCCAGTTCACTGGGATGGTGGGGTGAGGGTGGGGAAGATTTAATCACGGTCAGAATAATACCAGAATAGAATAGGATCATCACTTTGTGAAAGTTATATTTATTACATTATGTAATCAATATAGAGTTGATTTGAAAATATGTAAATTGTGGTATAACAAATGCTTTTAATGTTGGGATTTAATAAAACTTTATTCACTTATCAAGAAAGATGCCTTTAATGACCTTTTATTTTCTACCGATATTTATTGTAGCAGTTCACGCTGAATAGTTTTAACACACTAATTCTATTTACCCATAAGAAGCTACTGATACTAAATCTGACTAGTTTTGGAAAATTTTACTCGCACTGATAAGTGAGGCATAGTGGAAAGTAGGAAAGGTAAGGCCACTACTGAATTTCCCTAATGCCTGCTAGGGGTAAGAAGTTCAGGCTGCAGAGATGAGGAAGTGATGCAGAGAAAAAGATCACTGCAAGGTCAGAAAAAGGATACGAAGAGGATTTTTTGGAAGGTAGCAGAAGAAAATGAGTGGTTTGTGGTTTCTCAGTTTTCTTAAGCTTTGGGGTAGGGAAAGGGGTGGTTCTGTATTTGAATGATCTATGTAAGAGATGCTAGAAATCTTCACAGCTGGGGGGGTTCATTAAGGATTTGTATCCACACTTGTTTGGTTTTTCAAATAAGAAAAAAAGCCCTGTTCTGTAAATTTGGAGAATGAGAGCTTCTAGCCACTGTCAAATAGTTTTGTGTGCTGAAGCTATGATTTTCTTTCCTGTGTTGACACATGCACATAATAAAATGCTTAAAGAGCATTAAGGTTGCAAAAATAAGTTCTTACTTGATTTAAGAAAGGACAAATTCCTTAGTATCTTCCCTTGTCTATAGGAGTATGTTATGAGCATGTAAGATGCAACATTATACCACTGCCTCTAAGGATCTGAATTTTCAACTGGGCGTTAATATGATGATGTATAAATGAACTGGCATCCTAAACAGTGTGCAGTTAGTTTGTCTTGAATCTTCTTACCAAACTAGCAGACCCACTACCCCATTTTCTAGGGAGATGCAGGGAATTCATTCCTGCTGTATATTCACAACCATGAGTATATAATATTGACAGAACCAGACAAATTCCTGATGAGAACTGTTTTGTTTTCATTGCAAGCCATGGTCTGCAAGCCATGGGTAGGCTCGTGCATCGTGTCATTGATTATGAAGGGAAAGTCCGTTTACAGTGGACAATGAATGAGGTGAATCACCGAGTACTCTGGAAGCTTCCTCCCTCTCCTTGCCCCCATAATAATATGGCACTAGGAAGTGTATGTATAAGGAAGGTGATTTGTAGTTATGGTCACAGCTTTAAAAACATGGCTTCTAAATGGAAGCCATTCAATGGTAATCACTTTCATAATTAATACTTTATTTTCATTGTTTTATTTTAAGCAAGTGGTGTTTCTCTGCCAGAGGTGTCTGTCCCCTGAGGGTGGAGCTATGTAAGCAGTTGATTCAGTGTTACTCTCAACAATTATCTGCTATAAATGGAACAAATGTCTTTTCCATAGGCCTCTTAATGTGGTTAGTCTAAATGAGGGGGCTAAAATCCTCTTCCAGAGGGAAACAACAGTAATTTATTTTGACTCTCCTTTATTTTCAGGTATAACGGTCTTTTAATGTGCTTTTTTTCCCTAATGATGCTTTTTTTTTTTTTTTTATAGTATTGCAGAATTGTATTGCACCTGGGTTCTGAGTTTCATTTGGTCAGGATCATTTTGAATCACTTCTCTCTGCATTAATGCTCTGACTTGTCATGGTGTCCTAAAGTAAAAGGCATCTGAAGAATGTGAAACATCTGCTTGGTGTTCATGTATGGTTTCCTTTGGGGCTACACACAGTACCATTCCACCCTCATGCAGCTTGCCCAGGAGGTTACAAATTAAACATCAGCAAGAAGTCACATATATTTGAATTGAAAGGAAAGTAAGCAGATGGTACCTACTTCTGCACCCTCTACAGTGGTAATTTACTTGAGGTTTAACAGCCTGGAGTTACTACAACAACATAATTTCCCAGGGAGAATCTCAACCTTTGAATTATTTTTGTTCCAGAGCAGTTTGCTTGTATTTCTCAGCTTTGTAAGGTCCTGATTTTGTAGAGACCTGGCACGTCCATACTTTGTTGAGTCAAGATTTATTTCAACTTTTGTGGAACTCTTTGTTAAGTAGTGTTAAGAATGGGTCTGTGTTTGTGGGATCAGGGCTTAAAAAGCTTCCCCTATATAATACTTGTCAGTCCTTTACAGCTCTTGTTTCCCTGCCAGCTCAGGGCTGTATCTTCTCACATTTGTTGTTACATGCCTACCACACAGACAATTTCACATGTTCACTGTTGGCAGAATGTTTTGGATTGCTATTTGCATTTAAGGCATTTCTCACAACTTTAGGTTTTCTGTGAAGAAATGCCTTTATCACAGTTGCAGCATGCTGTAGTCTACCTTCTCCTTGGAGTCTGTAGTCTTCAAATGTTTGTAGTGTTATGTCACTCAGTTGTTCCATTTAATGACAGTCTAGGGATAAGCATGTTTACTCAGCAGTTTCATCCTCCAGTTTTCAAGAGAGTGTGTTTTTCCTGTGTAATGCATCCAGTAGTTTGTACTCTTGCTCTTTTGACCTGTGACACATTGCACTGGCTCCTTTTTGCTGTCTTGTTTCGCTAAGAGTATGCTCTTGGTTAGCAGTTGTGTGCAGCTGTTGGCCAGGAGTCTCAGCACTTGCAGCATTATGCTTGTACATGCTTGCTGTATTTCACTTTTCCCATTCCTTTCTCTTTACTCTTCCTGTAGTTGTACACGCTTTTGTAACAAAGTTGTTCACCAGTTAACAGAAAGCAGTGGTTTCATGGGAAGGTTCTTCAAAACTGTGTGGTCTGTTGGTTTGGGCAGATTTCCTCTGATGGTAGAAGGCTCTCGTAGTGGGGCCATCCTAGGGTTATATGGCAGTCTACATCTCTCTTGCTTTTCATTGCTTTTGTTTCATGTAATCAATTTCCTAATTGTGAAGCCCCATTTTCAATATGGGACAGGCCATGGCCCACCTTTTCAAGAACAAGGCCAGTATTCTGGAGTGTTTCATCTGGACTTGTATAATGTCCAGTGAATCATGAGGTTTGTTTGGTTGACTTCAGACTTCTTTTCTGATAAGTATGTAGAACTGATTTCGTTTGTTGACTTGTGATTTTACTTCATAAATCCATACTGATCTTTCATCGAAGGAATTTTTTTAAAGTGCTCAGTAATGACTGATAAAACACAAGTGCAAAGTCACAGAACCTGAAGACAAACAACTATTCAGTGGTGTGTGGAGAACAAAAGTAGTACTGGTGACAGGGATGCCAAAAATACATGAGAGATACAAGATGTGAGATGTTAAGGTTTGTTTTTTTTAAAAAAAAAAAAGCTAAAGGTTCTTAAGGACATAGGGCCAGACACTTAACAAAATTGTCTTCTGTTTTTTCTTGTTTTTAACAAGCAAAAGTACTCCTCCTGTTGGTCATAGTAGTTTAAATCTTAATAAGATCATGGGCTCACTTGAGGAGTAATTCCATGCTCTTGAAGTTAAGGTATTTTTCTTATGGCTAGGAAGTGCAGATTTTTATTCTTAATTCACCTGCTTCTTTAAGTTAATTAATTCCTCATAATTTGCACTGGTATAAGCCACAGCAAAATGTATCACAGTGGAATGATGGTACTATTTATTAATTAAAAGTGGAGAATGCATGTGCCACACTTTGGTGTAGCAGTGAATCCTGTCCTTGCTGAGTGGTTGGCAGATGTAGTCCTTTGGTGTGTGAGGCTCAGGTGGGCTATACGTAGCTAGTGCAGAACCATTCACCACCAGTTATTTTAACACCATTTTGTCTTCTATTGTGGACGACTCACAGATGTTGTATAGACTGTTCTCCATGACTTTCAAGGCAGAAAAAAAATTATATTGTGGGTTGTTTTGGGTTTCTTTTTTTTTTTTTTTTTTTTTAACACAGAGTATACCTCAGAGGAGTTTTGGGATTGATTATGACTGCAACTGCTTTGTCAAGGATGGGAGACCTTTCCGTTACATCTCTGGTAGTATTCACTACTCACGGGTGCCCCGGTATTACTGGAAAGACCGTCTGTTGAAGATGAAGATGGCAGGACTTGATGCCATTCAAACGTAAGTAGCTGTCGACTTTCAAAGTGATTTGTAGTCCTGGGAGATGTATGAGAAGTAGTGAAGCAGAATGCTACCCTTGGGACTTGGTTTATTAATTTCTAAGTAATAGGTGAGAAAGCTCCAGAGAAGTGAAGGGTGGTACAGCTTTGACTGGGACGATTGGGCAGGTTATAGCTAACCGTCCGCTTCCCTGCTGATAGGCAACACCTCCTGCTTTATAACCCAGGGTGCAAATGTAACCTGAAATAAATTGCAAAACAGTTGTTTTGTGCTCTACCTCTGCCAAGGGCATTGTAATCTCTGGTCAAAAGGCAGATGAGGTGAGAGGGGACAAAAACCTCTTAACAGAGCCTAGGTTGTTTCGCGCCGAAGCCTGGAAAATATTGGCAAAGGCTGCAGTAATATTTAAAGTTGTTTCACCAGGAGTGTTTAAAGTTAGAAAAGTGGTTGGGAGCTAGGTGTACTTTTTTTTTTTTTAAGGACAGTTTAAACAGCTTTCAGTTGCACATACCAAACCTTTAGTCCATCTTTCTTATATTTCCTTTACCTGGGTGTGTACTTCTTACAACAGGTGGGGTACTGATTGGCAAAAATAAGAGTAAGCTGACTTTTTAAAGCTTTCTTGACAGGGGAAAGGGGAGTGGTAGAAAAGTGTAAGGCACAGCGTTTTTCAAGCAATGGTTGTAATTCCCAAATATGTTTGGTTTTCTTTCCCTAAATCATTACAAGGCTTAGAGCTTCTCTTTGGAACAGCCTGTTTGTGTGCTGTGGACTGCCAGACAGGGTTGGTTCTGGCAGTGCAGAGCTCCTAGGCTGGAGCACTTTGCTAGGCAGGAGCATTGCACCATCTCTCCTTCCCCTCCCTTGAAATCTGCATTTTGTTTGACCTGCAAGTTGCAGGGTTGCCTTGTACACTTGGGGGTGTGAATAGTAAGCGTTAGGATATAAAGAACAGATGGCAGGGAAAGAAAAGTTGCTTTTCTTTCAAATTTAGGGTTCTCTATTTTTTTTTTTTTTGTATGTCTTAAAACTCTTCCCTATGTTGTGATGATATGACTTTTTGTTTGGCAGGGGGTGTTTTGGGGTGTTTTTTGTTGTTTTCTAATAAAGCAAGCAAGTTCGGTCTTCCCTCACATTACATAAGAACAATGGTATTAACACACTTGCTCAGGAGAGAGTTACTGGAATTGACCATCTAATTATTTTTTGCTGCAATAAAAATAATCTCAAATGAACATGAAAATTATACCTTTTGGTATCTGGCTTGAAGATTTGCCTGAATCCTGACAGTGGCTCTGTGACTCCTATGATCCGTAGTGTCTCATACTTCCTTTATGTGTCTGATGTATTTTCCTCCTTCTCCCAACACCCATATATCTTCAGTGCCCTCTGTTCATTCCCAGCTTTTTCAACCAGTCCTTTTCTTTTTTTCTTTGAAATTCCCTGTTCGTGTATCTGTTACATCACTGGTCTTTTGAGAGAGGAATCTTTTCTTTCCTGTTCCCCCATCACAATTGTTTAGTGGCAAAATTGCTGCAGGGCTTTTTTTTTTTTTTTTTTTCCTATTTCTTCCTTTGTAATCTCCTGATAACAAGGGAGGGTTTTTTCCTTCCGTATTTTTCCCTCCCTCCCACCCCCCACTTGTGGAGATCTCTTGCTCTGTGCTTTACTGTTTTGCATCAGTATCCTGCTGTGTAGGAAGGAGTGGAGATTGTCTTGTGTTGCTGGTGTCAACTGGTCTCTGTTGGTCTTGGGAGAGCAGAGTTGTTTCTGTTTCAGCACAGAAGGTACAGTACAGCTGGCAAGTGTTGCCACAGTGGTTATGTGACCTACGGCCTTAGGTCTTGTTGCTGAGTCACCGATGTCAGATAACAGGGTTTTTACAACCTCCTTTTCTTTTTTATAGAGCAGACTAGGATTCTTTAACTTTCTCCCACATTGTTGCTTACCTTTTGGATTTTTTTTTCTATTATGGTGAAAGATAGCTCCTAAATGTGTATCTTATAAGCAGAAAGTAGCGCTGTGTCTTGCATTTTCTACAAGAATCAAATCTCTGCGTCTTTCCATTTGACACCAATCTCTCTCTTTCTCTCTCAAAACTTAAAAAAAAAAAGGCAACCACTCACCAAACCCCTTTTGTTTTTCCTTGAAATTTGCAGATAATCAAGCCTTACTGCTCTTGATTATTGGAGATGAAGCAATACATTTTCATGTTACCCCAAACAACTCTGCTGTGATTTTTGTGTGGTTTTGCTAAATACCAAAATTGTTCTAGATGATTACTTAGTTGAGTTTTAGTTTTCTCTTCTGCCTATTCTTTCCCTGATCAGTGAAACTATTAGCAAGGGACTGAGATACCAGATGTGTAAAGTCGTTCTGGAATGAGCAGTAGCACTGCCAGACCTTCTGGCAGAATGTACTAGTTGGACTCCCAAGTTTGGGGCCACCTCTGAAGACTCTGATTTTGCTGCTTGCGTTTTTTTCCCATGGAACAGGAATGGATCTTGCTAGAATTTGAAATATGAGAACCTTTCTTGTTACTATCAAAGTGCTCCTCGTGAGACTTACCACTTCAAGAGAAACAGGATCCTTTTATTACAGGGTTGTCCTCATAAGTACCTTGTGGTCAAAGCAAGCCAGACCTTCTCTCCTTCCTGTTCACTGAAGCCTCATTTCCAAAAGACTTGCCCTGCCTTGATGCATTGTTCAGCTCATGGCTGAGGCAGCAGCTCGTGTGGGACTCTTGAATGGGTGAAGTCTATACGTGTATAATCATCTCTACTGGGAAGCATCTTAAGCAATGGCAGAATATGAGAAAACAGGTGACAGGGAGCTTGATATTAGACTAAAGCTTAAAATATCAAGGCCTAGACCTTCCAGATAGGAGGTTGAAATTTGATGTGATTGGTGACATCCCAGAAGATGATGGAGGGGTACACAGGAGCTCCACTCCCGACCTCAGCAGAGAGCACTCGGAGGCATCTGGTCAGGCAAGGGTGTAACTGTCCTTGTTTGCAGTTCCTGCACTGTGTCTGCCAACTAGAAAGCAATGCTATCAAAAATATCTGGAAAGGACTGATAGTGGTAGTGGTTCGTTCGTTTTTTTGGTTTTTTTTTTTTTTTTTTGTCATGAAAGAGATAAACAATTAACCACTAGATGGGGCTAAATATTTACTGGATTTACAGATCGGTGAAGATGCTTCCTGGAAGACTCAGCAGTTGCCTTCCAGGCTCACAGAAAATTAAAGAATGTTGAGCATTTTATTTGTTTTACTGTATTTGTTGACTAATGAGCAGAAAACTGTAAATCTGTAGAAACTCCCTCTAAGAAAGAGCTGCTGTTTAGCATATCTATTACTTGAAAAATGAGCTCAATTTACTTTTTATAAAGACTGATAAATGTGTAATTTAACAAGCATGTAGAAAATATTGCTCTATTATTTATGAAATTAGTATAAGATATTGAATTTTACACTACTAAAAAAAAATAAAGGAACCACCCTGGTATTGCAGAGAGGATTATCCTTCCTGTACGTTAAGGTAGTTAAAGTGGGGTTTTTGCCTGTTGATGTCTCTCTGAAATAGGACAGGAAAACTGTGACTTTTAAAGAAAAGGAAGGGTCTAGGATAAAGCTTAGAAATTCTATGTAAATAGGGAGTAAACACTATTACTCAAATACAGAAGAAATAGTATGTTTCAAGTTTGAAAAAATAAATGTGGCCTTCCTTTATAAATACATTATACTGTAGCTAAAGCAGTACAGGATTAATAACTGATCATACATTTAAACAATGATATATAGGAATTATACTTGCTAATAATAATAATAATTTAAAAATAAAATTATTGCTAGCCGTAGAAAATATATGGAGGGATTAAAGTGTATTAATAACAATTTTTAGACCAGTGTTTAAAATACGTTTATATCATGATTCATTCTGTAAGAAAGCATTTCACATAAATTTTTTTCTTCACTTTCGTCCCTTTTTTTTCCACTAAAATCTGCTTTTTTTTCTGGCCTTGTGAGGAAGCATGGGACATAAATTAAAACTGTTTCTGGATGAATTTTTCTGTCATTTTCCATCTTGAATGTAAGGGAGAAGAAGAAACCCTTTTGTCCTCATTCAGATATTATTAAGCATATTTAGACCTTCAGACTTGTTTCTAGAACACGTTCATAAAACTCTCACATGAGTGTATTTTTCTAACTAACAGGTTACAAGGTGTACTTAAATTACAGCTAGAATGCTTTTCTCGTATTAACTTGTAATTTACTTACCAGTTATAACTAACTTGTCCCCTAGCCTAAACAGAAAGGAGTATAAGCAGTTGCTCCCCTTGTGTAGTAGTATTTTAGGCAGTTAGAAACTGTTAAAAAGTTAATATCTAGTCATCTTTATTTAGCTCAAGCAGGTGCAGCTCTCTGCTAGAAGTATTTTTCAGTGAATGAGTTGCTACAACAACATGCCCGTTAATTCCTCCCGGAAAGAGCTTTGTCTCGTACTGCAGTGCTGTGTCAGTGATTCATAGTCAGATGGTACTTTTCAGCAGAACCTGCAGACCCTCTTCCTATTAATATCACTTCCATATGTCTTCTTCCTCATTTTGATTTTTTTTGCCTTCTCCTGTGCAAGAGAATTAGAGTGGTAACTCCTAATTCCTTGTTGATATCAGACCATGTTGCTCATTAGCTAAGAGCATTTACAATCCTGATCGTGTTCACTGGTGGATTTGAAGCTGCTCCCCCTTGCAAAGTGCTGTGCATCACCCCCATGTCAGTAAAAGCTTTGCATATAGTTAGACCTATCAAAGAGAGTTGGGATACTCCTCAAAATATCCCATTGCTTTCCCAACAGGTAGTGGGTTGTTCGTTTGTGGTTAATTTCTATTCTGTGTTAATGTTTTTTTGGTTTTGTTTTGTTTTGTTTTTTGTTTGTTTGGGTTTTTTTTTTTTTTTTTTTTTTTTTTTTTCCTTGTTTGCTCAGAAGCATGCCATACAGCAAAGTACCAAAAGCCTTGCTAAGTCGAGAGACATCACCTTTTTTCCTTTTCTCTAATTCTTTAAGCAAATTTTCCTGTGACAAATGGAGTTAGGTTTATCTGCCCTTGAGAAATCCATCGTCACATATATATAACTTAAAAGAATTCTGCATTTCTAAACAATAGCTTTGAAAATAACAGCTGTTATGTTTTAGAGCAAACTAAAATTATTCTGCAGTGATAACCTGGTTCATAGTATATGGAACAGGGGAAGCAAGCACAATATGATATTCTGGTATTGGCTTCTTTGAGGTAGGTTGGTCATTTGGTTGTTTTTAAATTGTTTTCTAATTTATCTACTTTAATATTAAATGTCAGCAATCAGTTTGTTCTTGAAATTTAGACAAAGTGCACAAAACTAAATTAGCAGTGATTGTATTTTCACATGGTTCGTATTCATTAGATGCACATTTAGTTTGTTCTACAAGTGAGTTAATCATGTATTTTGTAAACAATTAAAGCAGGTTAACAAAGAAATAAAATATACCGTGTAGAGGGGGAAATCTGCATTTTGATGCCTGAGTGTGTTTTGATTCTATCCTGGTATATAAATTTTAAGCTTTATCTTCTTAAACAGAGGCTTAAGATTTTGGCATTTGTGAGTCTATAATATTAACTAATGTTGCTGAAAGATTTTAATGTTCGTTATTTGATGTTCGTGTGCATGTACATCTGAGTGTGGCCATTTCAGTAGTGTGCTCATGTGAGGGTTCCCGTTTTTCTTGTTTATTGAAAGCAGTGTTTTCTGCACTTTCTTTCCCTTTTGCATAATTCTTACAAAATTAACTCTGGAACATATAAACAAACCCAGACAGTAAGAAAAAGTTTGCGTGAGAGGATCTTTGCTTGGTTAACCACAGTTTTGGTTTTAAAAATTTTTCTCAAATTTGTTCTGTCTGGAACAGTGGCAACAGTTCTCTTGGAGGGATTACAAACCTATGTGAAAAGAAGTAAATGCATGGAGAATGAGTTTTTCCATTCTCTTGAATCCTTGCTTAAGCTATACTCATCCCTAATTTTAATGTCTCGATGCTATGACTGCCACTTAGTACTGTCCCAAGCCAAAACTCTCATGGTTGTCAAGCATGGGCCATAAACTACACCACCACATGTAGTGGTTGGTAGATAACGTGTTTCTTTGCTGTCTTGCAACCCAGTGTATTGGTTTTTTTATCTCTTATGAGATGTTCTATGGTGGGGTTGTGGTTTCCTAAGTCCTTGGTCAAGCTCGTTCTTGACCACCTCCTTTGTGAGTGGTTTACAGTCTTCATTTCTTCACATTTCTTCATTTCTGCCAAACAACTGGCAGCTGGCTCGCTAACATCAAAACTGTTAGCTACTTAAATTTTGGAACAGACATCATGGTTTCAAAACAGCACTACCAAAGCCTGTTCTTGCAGACACACTGCGAAGTACTAACCTGTATTTCAGTATTAATTTTAACACCTTCTGTCATATGAAGTACCTCAGAGAAGAAAGGCCCTAGAGTTATTGTATTTTACAGGTCTGAAGACCAGTTCAGCATTACAGATCTCTGGGGTGCGTAGTGCAAACAGTTGTTATTTGGAATTCTGGTTTAGTCTCGGTTTCCTAATGGAAGGTGATCTTCTCTCTTCATAGGTATGTGCCATGGAACTACCACGAACCCCAGCTGAGTGTGTATGATTTTTCTGGTGACAAAGATCTAGAGTATTTCCTGCAGCTTGCTAATGACACTGGTTTGCTGGTTATCCTGAGAGCTGGACCTTACATCTGTGCAGAATGGGACATGGTACAGTATTTTGTAACGGTTATCTCATTTCTATGGTAAATCTAACCCGAATATTTCTGTCTTAAAGTAGACAAACATACTTGGTGTATCCTTGGACAAGACTCTTGATTTAGCATATCAAAATCCATGCAGTAACTTAAGTAATTTCTTACAGTACAGGCTTACTTTGTATTTGTTTTTTCATTTAGAATTATTACTTGCAGAAAATCAATCTTCAGGCCTCAGTATATGTTTTGATAAAAGGCTAAGTTCTTTTTACATTTCTTAAAAATGGTCACTGAAGTGATGCCCTTTTTTTTCCCAGGGAGGTCTTCCTGCATGGCTGTTGGAGAAATCATCTATTGTTCTGAGGTCTTCTGATTCAGGTAGAGACATCAAAAAGGAATAGCAGAAATACACTTTGGCAGCAAGACAAACTTACTGTTTAAGGCTGTTACTAGATAATTCATATTTCAGCTTAAGTTACCTTGTAAGTAAAATTTTCAGTGCTTTCAATTAGAAGCGTGCATTTGAGAAGTATATAGCATGAACAAAGTAGGATAGAAAGTTTCCAAGGTATTGATAAGTTTCATGAAAATTGGTGCCAAGAAAGAAATCATTGTCACCGTTGAGGAAAAGACAGGTAGCTCTCAGCTTTGAATTTTTTGGCTGTGCAGCCCACTCATTGTGTGGATCCTTCCTGGCTGGTCAGTGTGCGTGTATTTCCAGAACTAGTTACAGCATTCTTAAATGCTACCTGGTCGTGGACCGGACATGGAGGGATGAGATGAGACAGGAGGTTAATGTGGTTGTTGGAGTGCGTATTAGGGAACAGTATTTTAAAAAATAATGCACATAGCAATATTTGAATTTGTTTTCCTGTTGAAATGTGTTAGGACAACCTGCACTGAGACACTGAAGTCTCTCTGGTGATCTTCAAAGTTCATCAGTATTTAAGTGTTCTAATTTTTAGTAAACTGTACTGGAAGCTGATATTTATGAACAGGTATAAGAGCACATCTGTTTATTAAATGCTGGCCTGATATACTTAACCTATTTAGAACACTAGGTAAAAACCACCCATAAATAACATAAAACAAAAACTAGGAAAAAAGCAGAACAAGTGTGGAACACTTATGCTTTGTGTATCACAGATTACCTGGCAGCAGTAGAGAAATGGATGGGTGTCCTCTTGCCAAAGATGAGGCCTCACCTCTATCAGAATGGAGGTCCAATCATCATGGTGCAGGTAATTTCCTGAAAATCAAATGAACCTGAGCAGCACAGGTGCTTATATTGCTCTTGCAGACACTCTGTGGGTGTTGGGTGATAATGTCACAGATATGCCTTAACAGTTTCAGGTAGCTGAAAGATTCTGATGAAATCCCTTATCCTAAAGAACCAAATGCACTGTTTCCAGAATTCAGGGAGCAATTGTCATCTCTATCAAAGTTGTTTTCCACAACTATAGAGAGCAATAGAGGAAACTTGTGGTGCTTTTTAGACCTGGGTTTCATGCCAGTTCTCACGTAAAGACAAAATATACTGTGATTGCTTGAAACCCTCTGACAAGAAAAAGGGGAAGAAGTATACTTGCAGATAGAAGCAAAATCAGTATGGACTAAGCCTAAAACTTGTGACAAAAATGGCTTCAAAATGTAGGCTTTTTAACTCTTAGCACCTAACTTAAAATGGACGTGTTTCAGCACACAGTGTTGTGTGTTCATGGTGAGTAGCTCCTCTCTTAAACTCCTTCTGGATGTGCAGTGGTGATTGTTATGTATTAGCTTTTGACCATGACAAAAGCTTTGTTTTAATTTTTGTTTTAAACTCCCTGGTTGACACAGGATTGGATAGGAGACCCTTCTTATAATATGCCCAAGATCACTGTTTTTGAAAAATATGTCTATTGAGCAAAAGCACTGGACAAAATTATTTATTGGCAGAAATAAGATGCTTATAACAGGATTTTCATAAATAACCTTCAGGCACGCACGGCATTGGATCTGAAGCTTAAAAGTCCATCCCCTTGGGAAAAGAGCAAGATATGTACCCCTTGGTAGTAGTAGGATTGTCCTTCTCCCCTCAGTCCTTTGAGTCCATTGCAGGGCTTTGTTGTTCATGTGAGCCTCCTGTAGCTGTCTCCTGGAAGTCCAGTTTTGCTGCAGTTTTGATCATGTCACAACTCGTTCTATGGTTTTATTTTTCTGCCTGGGAGGTTGGTCATAGCTCTTCATTTTTAATAGAGACTGTTTAGATCACTTGCTAAGTAGCTAGGGTAGAGATTTTTATGTGGAGGGTGATTTTATTTATTTATTTTTATTTTTTTTTTTTGGAAAATGACTTGCCTCCACTCCATTGTAAGATATAGGTGAGAGGAATGAGTGCCTAGATGGGTGGTCTTCTCTTACTACTCAGGTCTGGAGTTAAAATGGCATTTTTAGCATTGCCATCAAAGGAAGAGGAGGATTGAATTTGGGCTTTCCGTTTTCGGTATCAATCAGATGCGCACTGAAATTGGCTACTGCTTTACTGACTTGCTTTTACTGTGCAGGTAGAGAATGAGTATGGAAGCTACTTCGCTTGTGACTACGACTATCTGCGTTCCCTTCTGAAGCTCTTTCGCCAGCATCTTGGGGATGAGGTCGTGCTGTTCACAACAGATGGTGCAAGCCAGTTTCACTTGAAATGTGGAGCTCTTCAGGGTCTTTACGCAACAGTGGACTTTGCCCCAGGTTGGAGACTGCTGTTTGTTACCAAAAAATTCTGTTTTGTATGTGTTTGTGGCAGGACAAACTGACTTGACTGCTTGACAAACCTGACTGCTTTGTTTAGGTGGGTTAATAGACATTTTATGTATATTTGATGTACTCTTAAACGTACAAGAATTACCCACAAGTACTCAGAGGGTCATAATCACTTCCTCGCATCATGAAATCATGAATAAGCAATTTACACTACTCTTAATGCATATCTCCTGAAAATTAGCAGCAACAGTTGGCATTGATTCCATTGATTTTTTTTTTTTTTTTTATTTTATTTTTTTCGTTGTTGTTGTTTTGGTTTTAATGTCCTTTGTCTGTCTCAGAATCCAGCCCTCAGTTAATTTCTCTTTAAGCCAGTGGTTACTGGGGAAAAAAAAAAAATACTGCTGAAGATCATAATTAGAAATGTGCACACTGCGACAATTTGCTGTGATGTAGGCTTGAAGAATGGCTGAGCAACCACAGTGTGTTCAGAAAGTGCCCTTTTGATAAATAAGGGAGTTAATGATGTAAATGTTCATACACCGCATGGACTTGGCAAAAGAAGCTTAAGACACAAGAAACAAACTCCAAGATAGATCTTGCCATGTTTTTTGTGTGTGTCCTCTTCTATACATTATTCTCTCTACAATCAAAGAAGTGTGCTTAGCAGGAATCTGTTTTCTTACAAGTAGATTGAAATTATGAACTCTTCTTCATGTGTATCATTTATGAGATGGTGAGCTACTCATGGAAGTAATTTCCAGTCCCTATGGCTTGAGCCAGGAATGATCAGAATTGAAATTCCTCTTTAGAGATTGCCTGGCTTCTGTTCTTCCCCATAGTCTTGGTACTGCAACCCCAGACCTGTATTTTCCAATGACCAAGTAGTAATTCTGACACAGCTTAGACTTTTCAGTGCCAGTATGTCATTCCTGAGAAAAGCTGGATTTTCAGAAGGTCTGTCTCAAAAGCAAAGACATAGATGCATGCATGCATGCATACATGTATGTATATATTTTAAATAAGTTCTGCAACTTAAACACTGGAATCAAAGTTACAGATTCATGTGTTTTCTGAAGTTTTCTTGTCTGGATTTTTGCTAGGTGTTAGAAAGGAGATAAGACACCTATTTCAATAAAATGAAGGACTGAAAAAGTCACGTATGTAGCAACTCAATTTTATTTCTATCTGATTATAGGTGGCAATGTCACAGCAGCATTCTTAGCTCAGAGGGGCAGTGAACCTACAGGCCCTTTGGTATGTCTTTTCACTTAAACTTCTTGTATCATTCCTAATCTTACAGTGGTTAGTAAGAGAGGATTTGGGAACAGTGTGTTGGACAGTTTTAGGGGCATGTTTACAAAGACGTAACTGCCAAGTCAGTCAGAAAAACTGAATAAAGGAACTTCTGTGTGCATTTGGCAAATCCACATTAACTGGTGTTCTGCAAATACTGTTTTGGTCTGAAAAGATATTGATTTTGTTTCAGTATTTTTCCTTGCTAAGACAAAAGGAGCGGAAACAGTAAGTATGATTAGATGAGTTAGTGAGGTACATGTGTGGGTGGAAGTTAAAAGCAAAATTAAAAGGCAGGTTTAGAAGTTGCTTCCTGTTTTCAGCTACCGTAGAGGTTTTACACAAGCTATAATGGGATGTGAGGTCACGGGAGGCCATTTTGACAAAAGGAGAAGGCTCTGTTGGAGCCATAAGATTATCTCTGTGCTATGAAATTGTTTAGAATGCAATTTGAGTATTTGAAAGATTTATTTTTCATTACATCTAGTCTACATATGCTATTCTGCAGACAGTGTATTGGTTCCATCATTTATTTGAATGCCAGACATCTGAAACACCTTCATGTTGACAGGTTCCAAGGAAGTCCATGCTCTTTGGTGCTTAAGCAATTATTTTCAAAGTGTCCCTATAGAATTATTGAAACAATCCTTTAATTTCTTTGTCCCCAGTAATCTGCTGAAAAGGATTGACTTAGTGTATACTTTACTGTATTTGTAGTAGTTTAAAAATGGCTCAAATGAGTCAAGGTGCCTCTTTTCCTTCCTTCTTAGAGTTAGTAAACTTAAATCACATTGCATTCTGTTCTTGTTCCCTCTTTAATTTTTTCCATTCCTCTTTTGCCCTTCCTCCTTTCAGGTTAATTCTGAGTTTTATACTGGATGGTTGGATCACTGGGGGCACCGTCATTCTGTTGTCCCCGCACAAACTATAGCTAAAACACTTAATGAAATCCTGGCACGTGGTGCTAACGTTAACCTGTAAGTGTGTGTTCAGTAAAGGTTAATTTGGGGGGACTTTTTTTTTTTTTCCCCAATTCAGCAAAACCTGATTTAAGTGGATGGCTTTTTTCCTTTTTAGGTACATGTTTATAGGAGGGACTAACTTTGCCTATTGGAACGGTAAGAAGTTATTTAAATGATACCAATGATGGAGGAGAGCTGTTTATGAATTAGGTAGTAACGTATTGTGTGAAAGAATAAGCTATGCCTGCTTTCACATGAGAAAAGATGACTGCACTGGCTGTTCTCTGTCTATTGCCAGCATGCTGTACTAAACCCACATGGTATTTATCTTTGCAGAGGCTACTTCTGCTTCAGTCAGTCCTGTGAAACAGTTGAAATATGGACAAATGTTTCTCTTCAGAATATTTCTGAATACAAGAACAGCAGTATGAGTTCAGAAGGATGTTGTCCTCCATAAGGAATAGGTTCTCCATGCCAAATACCAAGGCTTACATTGAATCTAAAAATGTAGTGGAGTGTGGCTGTGATTGGAAAGAATTCTGAAAGTTGATACCTTTGGAAAAAAAACTACTCTTCCACTGTTTCTATTGTTCTTTTTTTTCTGCCCCTCCTCTCCCCCTGCCCCTCAGGTGCTAATATGCCCTATATGCCACAGCCCACTAGTTACGACTATGATGCTCCACTGAGTGAAGCGGGGGATCTGACAGAAAAATACTTTGCCTTGAGGGAAGTCATTGGTATGGTGAGTGTCTCCATGACATGTTTAGAATGGTTCTTTGAAACATCCCTGGTGTCCTGCAAACTATCTAGGTCTTCTGTTGGTACAAGTTACTTCTGAATTTACTATTTTTTGCAGGTGAGGGAAGTGAAATAGAACAAAGTAATTAGGCCAACCTAACTGCTTGTTGTTACAAAAGGGGAAAGATCTTGCACCTCTCTGGCTATCTTTTCTGTCCCAATGGCTCCCTTCTTCCTTTCAGAGGAGAGAATACAGGTGCAGGTCTGGCACTGAAATGATTCAGCTGTACTTTTTTGCTGCATCTATATTCTTTCAGCTGATGCTCAGTAAGCTGAACTGGCTCACTCAGATGAGAGCCAGTGCTGGCACAAGGGGAGCAGAGGGAGGCAAGAAGAGTTTTGGCTGGGAGTAGAGGTGGCAGAGGAGCAAACGGAGCTTTTCCCTTGCAGCGTTGATCAGCCATTCAGTCAGCTCAGGCTCATCACTCTGTCAGCCTGATATGCACTGCAGGTTGGTGCTTTGGCTGTCTGTGTCCCAAGCTTCATGATGTGGTTTTGGGCCTCTGTGAGAAGGAGCGTGTTTATCCAAATGAACATGTCTTGTTTTTGTGATGCCACAAACCATAGCTAGTAGGTGGGACCAGTTTTGCCCTGCTGTAAAATTGCACAGTATCTCTACAAACTGGAGATCAAAGTGAAACATGGAACCTGTATCTGGATTCCGAATAGACTTGCATTGGAGGCCACTCAGGTGAGGCTTAAAAGCAGATTCTGTGGGGATCCCAAGGCTCAGGCTTATCCTTGCTGTCCGGTTGCATTCCAGGAATATTCCTATTCACTAGAAGACATTTTTTTTTATGAATGGTAAATCTCCCAAAAGTGTACTACACTTTGGGGTTGAACACACCTTTATCTCTATATCTGTGGAAGGCCTGCTGTGGATTATTTTCTTAAATTTCTCCATTATCCCTAAGCTTTCCATTGATTTGATGATTTTGATAGCCTTTCAAAGGGAGCCTCCTGTCTTGATACAGCTTTTCTCACCAGAAAAATTCCCAAACTTCCTGTTTTTGAGTTGTTTTCTTCAAGGCAAGATCCCTATCTGAAATGTAAGTAGTGTTTTAGTGCAGTGAGAGAGCCTTGATAAGATCTGAAGTGTTCAGTATAACTTAAGGTGTGTTGGGTCATGGTATAGCTTTTTTTGGTGTGGTTTGTTTATCTCTTACCTTCCATATCCATAGGATCTCAGTAAAGTTTTCCTGCCTCTGCTGTGGGTTCTAAACCCATAACACTCTGTCTACTCAGTTGCAGCTTGAGATGGAGCTGATGAAAGAAAACTAAGTTTTCTGTAACTAATGACTGTATTCAACAAGTTAACTGTGCTAGAATGCTAACATAATCCGCCTTTACTGTTTCCTTCAGTTAATAAATGTAGTAAGAAGGGTTTCAGTCTATAGCTTCTTTCAGTTGCTGACGGCATTCTCTATTTTCAACTATATGGGTTGAAATTTCCTAATTTTGACTTTTTCTCCTAGGTTAATGTAGTTTTTCTTTAACCCTAAATATCTTTATTATTTTCAAATAAAGAGAGGAAGAAAGGAACTTGTTACTGGAAATATAAATCAGGCTTTCATCAGTTCATAGTTGACATTTAACAGGAGGCTATTGGGAATTATACTTCGGTGGTCTGACTAAAAAAGAAAAAATAGAACAACTAAACAAAAAAAAAAACCCTTGTCTTGGTGCAGAGGCAAGCATTTGAGCATGAGTTTTATGCTGGATGTGTAAGCCCAGCAAATCATGCCTTGTGCTAAAGCTTTCAAGCTGAAATCGAAGTAAAATATCTTAAGAAAAATGCCCTTTCGGCCCCTCGCCAAATATATTAAAACCCCAAACAACCTAGGACCCACCAAAGACACTCAGAAGTCACTGAATATGCAGATTAAGATATTCACAAGGGCTGTCATTTGTGCGTGTGTATTAAAAAGTAGGCTTAGATTTCTTGATCACATGAGTATTTCATCTGCAGAAGTTTTTTCTCTAAAGTGCAGGCAGATCAATGTTCAGTAAACGAAAAAACAGATGGAAAGAGTGGACATTATAGGAGAGAAGTGATGGTAGGAAAGGGAGAAGGGGACTGATGGCAAGGAGAAAAGGAAGTTGTAGGCTCAGAAAGGAGAAGGCAGGTATGGGTCAGAAAGCCGCTGTCTAGACTTGGCACTCCTCAAAGATGTCCAACAAAGAGGTGGATGCCCTTCACCCCTTTTCTCTGCTGATCTCAGGTGGCTCTTCCTGGAGTTACAGGGCAAGAAGGAAACAAAAACAGCCTGGCAGTCAGAGTGATTCCCTGTCATGTTCCCATATGATTAACTGGGCAGTTGTATCGACCAGGACCAGAGCGGAGCGAACTGGCTCAAGGGTTCATGGAGCTGGGGAGGAGGCTGTGGTCTCAAGGCCTGCTTCTCAAAGAAACCAGCCCGGGCAGTAATGGATTAGCTGGTGGTGGACTACAATAACACTGAAGGGAAAGGCACAAGAGGCCAATAATTCCCATATGGAAGTGCTGCTGAGGAAGGGTCAGGTGGAAATACCGCCTTACGGGCTTGGAGAGGTTAATTCAAGCTCCTGTGGGCTGGGGAAGACTGCTGCAGGGGGGTTGTAGAAGGCAGTAACAGAAGCTCTAGCCACAGGAGGACTCCAAGGACACTGTGATTCTTTGGCAGCTCGTTTGTTTGCTAGGCTTTTACTGTTGCCTCAAGTTGTATAGATATTAAAAAGTGTTTATCATATGTGATCAAATCAGATGCGTTGGTTTGTTTTTTTTTTTTTTTTTTTTAAAAAAAAAGTCTAAGACTAGATGCATCTGTAATCCTTTAGCACAGTGAGTTTATCTACTTTTAGGCAAAGTTCTACTTTTGTAAGTTGTAAAGTGAAAAATGAGAATTCAGTTAATGTGTGTTTGTATTCAAGTTTCATGTGTTGTTTTTTATTTCTTTTTCTTCCTTTCTAGTATAAGCAGTTACCAGAAGGTCTTATCCCTCCAACAACACCCAAATTTGCATACGGGAAGGTTCGTTTGCAGAAGGTAAATTAACATCTGTAATATGTTGTGTAGCTTTCCATAATGCTGTAGCTTGCTTTTTGCAAAAAATGTTTATGAAGTTGTCATGGCAGTCTCTAGATATCATACAAAATAGAGGAAAACCTTGAAAGCAAACTTTCAGGAAGGAGGGAGCAGAGATTGAGAGTTAGGAATCACGCCCATCGTAGAAAATGAGAAAATGTATGTTATCTGGGTATAAAAATACCATTTTTACAATATGCAGTATGTGCTTGAAGTTCTACTAAACTGAAATTAATATACTGTTAACACAATCCTAGCTGTCTAAGAATTCATGTATGAGTAATGTAGCTGGGGGAATGCTAGCATGAGAGCTACGAGCAAAGGGTGTTTGTGTAGCTGGTGATGCCTCTGAAGCAGAAGCAGCAGGTAGGATATACATATCTTTTAAATACTTCTAGGTGGTTACATTTTGAATAGGGAACATTTTCAATACATTTGAAGGTCTTACTGATATAGTTTCTTACAAGATTCATGAAAATCTGTAGCTGATGAGAGAAATTAAATTAGTTTCTTGCTGAGGGGAAAGGCATGCAGAACATAGCACGCTGAGCCCAGCCCTGCTATAGCCTGTCTGACAGCAGTGCTTTAACAGCATGCCAGCACATGAGGAGCCAGGGTTTGTCCATAGCACCAACATTTTAGGACCAGGGACAATTTTCTGTGAAATATGGTTGAAAACTAGGTTCTCAGTGAGTGTAGAGGATGGTTTAAGAGGGAATGGAAGACACGACAGGTATGAACTTGGCTATATTCACTCTGCTGGGCACAGACAAGTTGTTTTGAGGTGGAGGATTGCTGCAGTTGGTGTACCGGGTACTGTAATTCATAATGCTTTGATTTTATACTTTGTAATTTTAATTTGGCAGCCACCTTGCCAATGAGTGGTGTATCTGATCTGTTATGCACTGCAGCTGAAGCATTGCAAAGTTTGGTCATGATAAGGCTTTGCAGGTGTTTTCAAGTCATCCCACTCAAGTGGTGGGCAGAAATACTTTTTGTATGAAAGTGGTTCACCAGTGAAGTTGAAACAGATCTATATCATTTTCAGCAACGTTTGAGTATCTTCAGACCTTTTAGGGTTGCTATGTGAAGTTTCACTGAACTGACTTATATTTGGCAGTGACTAATTATATACTGGTATCAGTACACCCACCACTTCTGATGCTGTCATAGGTTGCCAGTATTTGGGAGCCTAGCCATCCGACTTCGACTCTCCCATCTTCTAATGGTTCATGGTTCTCAGATAGGGCTGTCCAATTTCACTAGAATGATGAACTTTCTCTTTCATGCCTTTAAGAAATGAATGCTGCAGGGTGCCTGGCACAGACACCTGTCTTACAAAGGAGACAGATGACTAAACTTGCTCCAAACACCGCAGCTTTGACGTGGCCATCACACTGGGAGCCTTGTTCCTACACCTTCTCACCTTCTGCACTTGCTGCTTTTTTGAGAGGAGGTATTTCACTCTCCACCCAGCAGTTTCAGCAATCCAAATGGCATGTCTAAACTGCCAGGTGTGAGGTTCCTGTCATTGCCTGTGTGTACACTGCCATCTGCACTGAGAGCCTCTAGAATTGTTTTCTGGGAAGAAGGCTGGTTTTTGCTCTGTGAACCCCCTGCTTAACTTCAGCAGCAGTTGACTCTCCTGCTCGGTTACCCTGTAACACAGGATGAGTCTGAAATCCCAGAGGGTTTGTACTGCCCCAGTCAAAGCCATCCTCCCAACTCCATGATGTGTTCTAGCCCTGGCTGGGACCAGGTCCAGTGGGCCTTGTTGTATGGAAAAGCCTGAATGTGTTTGAGTGACTATCAGAACGGGAATATTCTAAATTATAGGACTTAGCTTTGGTAATAATGAACTTCCCAGCTGTATCGTTTGCAGTGACAGTTCTAAACCAGGCACTCTATGAAGCATCACTGTGCAGCTGAGGTCCAGCAGTCAGTCTGCTGCGCAGAGCATTGAAGCTACTGCAGTGAACTGACTCCCTTGACACTCTTGCAGAAAGGAAGAGGTAAAGGAGACTCCAGAGTATTTTCAGGAGTCATATGGTGTGCTTTAGAGGTACATGTAACCAGAGCAGGCTGTTCTCTCTTTTTTTTTTTTTTCCACAAGATATTCTGTGACAATTCAGTCGTTAATTACCCGATCAGCTATTCAGGACCTAAACTTGAGTAAAGTGATCCTTACCCTTAGCAGTGCTGCCTGTCACATTCACTGGTTTTTAGTGGTTTGCAGATAGGTTGCCCCAGATGAAAATAATTGGGGAACCCAGACTAGTTGGGGAGGGGAAAGAATTGAAAAATAAAAAAAGAAAAACTCCCCTGCTGTTCCCTGATCGGGCATTTGTTCATTGTGAGCTGTTGAATAACCTTAAAGAATTCTCCTGAATGGAGAAAAAGGTAATTTTTAAAAAGATGCTGGTGTCGCTGACATTGCTACAGAAGAGCAGGAGACAGGAAAGCAGAGATAATAAGGAAAAAATCTTGTTGCATATATGCAGAAGAGAAGTGTTGAAGATGAGGAATGAGGGCAGGCAAAGGCAGAACAGCAATAGGTGGGCTCAAGAAATGTGAGCAGGATGACAGGTTTTAGAGGTTTAAGACCCAGAATGTGGGGAGCATCCTTTCCAGAGGGAAATTAATGATTCTTAGTGCCTGCAATGTGTCTCCGTGGCTGTGCAGACTTGTGAGCAGGTGGTAGTGTCTGGTCCCCACTTGGAGGGCCCTGAGGAGTGCTTGGTCACAAGGAAATGCCTGCCCCAGCACTACAACCCGCAGGCTCATAGCTCTAGAGACGTATTCAATTCTTGGGATGTGGAGAGTTGAAGCAGTAGCATGTAACGCTGGTAGGAGTTAAGTGTAGAAAGGGGTTAAGCACACAGGATGTTGCCAGTAGTTGATATCATTCCTCTTGGAGGTATTTTGTTGTTTTGTTTTGGTTTTTTTTTTTTTATGCTTGCTCTTACACTTTGGTTTTGAAGACTTTGCTCTGGAGGATATAAAAGTATTGCTATTCTTTATTAGTATTTTTCTGTTGTTTTACAGGTTGAGTTTTTAAAAATTCTTGACGGTGTTTGTAATTTTTAAATTTACTGTTAAGTTTCTGTTGTCTTCTAAGTAGCAGTCAACAGGAACTTGCAGCAGGAGCAGATCTTGTTTTGGGTGGGTTTTTGTATACACCACTTAAGAGCAAAAAGCTGAACAAAAATAATCCATTGAAGTTTCAAAGAAAGAAGCTTCTACCAGCCCGGTCCATAAGCAAATGATATGGAGTTGGCCTGTATTCAGAACAGAATCCCCCTTGGTAGCAGGAACTTAAAAAGAAGTCACACAGGCACATGTACAAGCTGCTAATGCTCAGTTCAGCCAAGCACAAAGCAACACTCATTGCCAGTTAGTAGCTCATTCAGGTAACCATGTGTGTCTTAATACTGCTTACATTAATTTCTAAATTCATTTTCCACCTAGGGCCAAGACTATTAATGCTCATGGGGTTGTTGTTTAGCTCTATAAATGAGCTCTGTCAGTGTCTGTGCAAAGATGCTCATCTCTTGCTTCACAGCTGCTGTACGAGACCTGGCAGTTCAGGTTTTCCAGCGGCCCGCCAAGTCCTGCACGTTGCTTTAACATCACTGGCTCCCTTGGAGGAACACAAGATAAGCAATGGAGCACATAGGCAGTCTGGAGCATTTGGGGAATTTTACTCTACAAAAGCTGATTGTTATTTTAGGTACAATTCTTAAACTGAAAACGTAAGAGCAATCTACTTTCATCAGAATTTTGCAAGCCATTGTTTAACTGACAGCCTTCTTCCCAGGGTGAACATGCTTAGCTACGGACTAGTGAGGGTGACCCAACCTCCAAGTAGAGATGGCATTACCTTTTGTATACTTATGGCCCTCCTTTTGCTTTCTTCTTCCTAGCTAGAGTTGAGATAAGCTCATTCCAAAAGTCCATTTGCATTTATGTCCCCATGCTTGTTGTGGTTTAACCCCAGTAGCCAGCTAAGCACCGTAGAGCCACTTGCCCAGTCTCCCCCAGTGGGATGGGGGAGAGAATCAAAAAGGTAGAAGTGTGAAAACTTGTGGGTTGAGATAAAGACAGTTTAATAGGTAAGGCAAAAACTGTGCACACAAGTAAAGCAAAATAAGGAGTTCATTCACTACTGCTCATCAGCAGGCAGTACGCAGCCATCCCCAGGAAAGCTGGGTTCCATCACATTCAGTGGTTACTTGGCAGGACAAGTGCCGTTAAGTCTGAGCATCTCCCCCTTCCTTCATTTTCTCCCAGCTTCTATTGCAGAGTGTGATATCGTATGATATGGGATATCCCTTGGGTCAGCTGTGTCCCCTCCTGACTTCTTGTGCACCCCCAGCCTCCCTGCTGGTGGGGCAGTCTGAGAAGCACAAAAGACTTTGCCTCTGTATAAGCACTGCTCAGCAGTATCTAAAATATTCTTGTGTCATCAACACTGTTCTCAGCACGAATCCGAAACGCAGCCCCATACAAGCTACTATGAAGAAATTTAACTCTATCTCAGCCAAAGCCAGTACTACACTGAGGAAATAATTGTGTGTACATAGATGTTTCATGCTGACTTCTGTCACATACAGCATTTCACAAAGTGATGTACATTTTAATATATAAATTAGTATTTCAGCATTTCATATATGCTCTGCAAAAATTCAATACTTCTGTTATTGAAGTAGTCTCAGAAGTTTGTATTGCTGAGAATTCTCTTATAGTATACAGTTGTACATGATTTCAAATGCCTATTTTTTTTACTGTTTTTTTCTGAAGCATTTGAAACTAAATCTGTGTTTGAGAAATATTTTGAATGTCTGATATGTAACTACAGCTGAACAGTATTTCTGTGAAACAGACTGATATATTGCATGAAAAATATGAATGCAGTTGATTTTTCTGAGCTTAAGACATGAGGCATATTGTGTGCATCTTGACTAACATAAGATTGATAGTGGACTTAGAATTGTAGATGAGTAGAAAACTATAATTGCAAAAGGAAATTGCAGTCGGCAACAAAAGTCAGTTTAATCGTACACATGTAAGTCCTTATTCAGCAAGGTACTTATGCATGTGACTAGCCTAAACCTTCCTCCCAGTCTCATTAAAATCAGTCCAGCTACTTACAGGTGACACTGAATTACAGCCTAAGCGTTTCTAAAATTATTTAAGACTAAAATAGGGTAAGTTAGTCTTGGATAACTCTTGATGGAACCAAATTGTGCCCCTACTTGATTCAGGAGTAACTCACTGGAAATCAGTGGCACTTTCCCTAGCTTGATTGTAAGTATAATTGAGCAAAATATAGGTAATATAGTTGGGGTTTTTATTAATTGTCCAGAATGGTTGTGTTCGTTTATAGAACTTCTGTGAGAAACTCCTGGGTTATTTCTCGTTAAGTAATAAAGGGTCACTTTTATTTTTATGAATGCATAGGAGATTCAAAACATCTGGATTTTTAAAATATTGCTCCACCTGTAGTATGTTTCTTTCAGGGTTCATCAGTTCTTTGTACTGTATTGCTATTAATATGTCTGTAAGGAAGATGTAAAGGCTTAGGATTTCATTGCTTTCTGGACAGATGCAGCTAGGTGGCTGGGGTATGCAAGCTGTTACATTTGGATTGAAATGTACTGACCTTCATGTGTCTGCTTTGTCTGTGCTGCAGGTGGGCACTGTGGTGGAGGTTCTTGACAGCCTGTCACCTGCTGGACCGGTGAAAAGCACTTACCCATTAACCTTTGTTCAACTAAAGCAGGTGAGGATTCCTTCAGTAGGCACCTTGCAGTAATTTTGTAAAGTTTATTTGAACAGCCCTCTGTGGTATTATTCTTATGTCCAGTGTTTTACACCTTATCTCAGCACAGAAGTAATAGTATTGTAAAGGCATCCAGGACTTGTGCACTGGAGACCTTCCCATATTCTACAGTGCTCCTGTTTTGCACCCAAGGTTTTCCTCTTTCCATGAATATAGGTGTATCTGCTGTCCAGGCTTTCAACTTTATCTCTCTCCTCTCTGAAGTACTGATTTTCAGGTACTTAAGAGACTTTTTTTTTTTTTTTTTTTAACCATCTTTTTCTTCACTACTTATTTTCCTTATTCTGTTTTTTTCTTTTTACCTCTCCTCACCTGCTATCAGTGTGAGCACAGTGGCTGAGAGTGCTTTCTCATACAGGTCAGGACACCTGGAGATTGGGGAATGCAAGCTATTTGACACTTCTGTGGGCCTCCTATTTATTTGTAGTCCTTTTCTTTTACAACATGTGTGGTGAGGCAAGAGAATACAGTGAGAGAAACCTCTTGGAGCTGTTTTAACACAGTTGAGGTCATTCACCCCACTGGCTGAGATAAGAAAAATACTGTCCTCTGCATTTTCCTGCGCCTCCTGCTGACTCCCACTCTCCCCCATGTTCCCTCTCTGTCAGTCTCTGCATCAGTTTCCCTGTCAGTTTTGGTGACTTTCCATATCTTTCCCTTGCTGCTGAGGGACTCTGTTTTTCCATTAAGGTTACATGGCTCCTTGGTGGCTTCTGCACCGAATTTAGCAGAGACAGGAGCAGGGGTGCTAATTGCCTGCAGCTAAAATAAACTGCTCAGAGGGAAAGTGATGCTGGCATAGCTGGGGGAGGGAGAAGAGGGGAGAGCAGCTCAGCAGATGCTTGGGATATGGCACTAGTCAAGTAGGGGTTCAAAGCTCAGATTTTTCCTTTCCAAGCCACTAACACAGAGGTGTGAGAGAATCTGCAGATAGTATGTTGTGGCTGGATGTATTTCTAGTGGGCTTTTCTTTCTTTTCCTCTGGTCTTCCCACCCTTAGTACTCTGCTTGGGAAAACTCCTGAGAGAAGAGGGCAGCCAGCAGATCTTCCTAGCATATTTTTAATTATTTTTTAATTTCTTTCTTTCCCTCAGCACTGCTCCCCATTCTCCCTTTTCTGGTCACCTGGTTGCAAATGTAATGCAAATGTAATAATTATAGCAGAATGGAAATGGTTTACTCTCACTTCTTCCTGCCAAGGTTATGTTCTAATCCAAGTCTAGAATATAAATGGTTTTGTGGCTACTGAGTGAAATAGATGATGCATTTTTTGACTTGTTTTTAATTTGTGTTTCACTTTGAGAACAAATCTAATGAGTGTGACTTTTTTCTTTCTTTCCTGATGGGGAACTTGGGAACGTTTTAGAATATTTTTTACTGATACAAATCAGGTAGTTTTTAAAATAGATGTTATCAACTTGATGAATATGTCAATTTATGGGCACTGGATGACAAGTTCACTTTCAAGTTTGATATAAACTCTGTTATGAAAGGATTTTCCAGCTATCTTCTCACTGGTATTAATGAAGAAATAATACTGTTGGCCATTAGCTGCTTTGTTTTTATTGAGGAAATACCTTCATAGCCAAGACCCTTATCTTTTAAAGTTATGTAAATGTTCCGATGAAACATTTAAAAATGGAAGCTCAGTGGAATTTACATCCATTACTTAAAGGTCAAAGTGAACTCTGATCTGAAGCTGGTATCTGTTAGATGCTATCTGAAGTGAATGAAAGTTAACATTTCAATCCGAGCGTATAGGCAGGACTGTGGGATATTTGTAATTCATGTCCTGAGTTGAAGATTCGTAATGACTTAGTTCACTAATCTGTTTGGGTTTTTTTCCTTTTTTTTCTTTTCTTAGTATTTTGGGTTTGTACTGTACAGAACTACGCTTCCAAAAAACTGTACGGAGCCAACACAACTGTCTTCACCTTTAAATGGAGTCCATGATCGTGCCTATGTCTCTGTCGATGGGGTAAACAGTGTTTGCTGGTATTCATTTCTGCCATGAGTGGCTTTCACAAAAGTCATGGATACAGTCTGCCTTTTTTTTTCTCCCTCCTTTCTCCAGCTAACTTTATTAAATAATCTTATTTAATTAGATGAAGGAAATAAGGAAGTATACAGTTGATTTGTATTAAATGTTCACATTTGTATTTCAAAAAATACGACTATCTGTTATTTCTAAGGAAAATGTAATTGTTTCCATTTTTGAGATATTTGAATGTTGATATAGATTCATGACAACTGAAAAAAAAAAAAAAAAAAACAAAAAAAACCCCAAAACAACCAAAAAACAAACAAACAAACAAAAAACTAGAAGAAGGGTTTACTTGCAGGTTCATTAAATATGTTAATGATATATGCTTGGTGGCTTTCTACAGTGTTTTCATAGATTTTTTTTTTTTTTTTTTTTTTTTTTAGATTCTTCTCTCTATTTTTTCCTTTGAGGGTGGGGGGAAGTAGAAGCACAAGCCTATGTCTTACCTTATGAAACTGGCTTCTGACCACAAGTTAAGAAAAAATAAGTTTGTTGCACAGGATGTGAACTGTACCTTTCTTCCCTTAAGCAGGGTTTTGCTTCTGCTTAATGAAAATTAGTATCAATTCATGGACTTTGATAGCCTGTTTTTAATTAATCCTTCACCTTTGACTCTCATCACTTTTGTGTCTAGGTCAAAGTCTTCAATCCATATGTTGTGGGAAAAGGAATAAATAAAACTAAATATCGATGTGAGCTTCATTAGAAGATGAAGTTCCTTTTAATCACTGATATTGCCAAAATCTTTTCAGTCACTAGACTAAATTTGAGAACTTGCTTTTTGTGAATCAAGTGCATCAAAACCCAATAGAATTCTAACAGCTACTTGAGTGAGTTGAAATCAGCTAAGAAAAGAGGTGGTGTCAGTTAGACAAATGCTGCCTAGTAGCACATCCAGTTGATGTATTGAAATGTGGCTATTGACATAGCAGCTTTTTGTGTGTGTACTTGCATGCAAGAGGAGGAAAGGAAAAAATTTGTTTAACTTTTGTTTCATTTGTCCTCTTTCTTTTCTTCATGCAAGTTGAAGAGACAAATAACAGGGTTTTGTTGATTTTTTTTTCAATGGTCATTATTTTCTTCTTTGTGTAATTCATATAGGTTCCTCAAGGTGTCCTTGAAAGGGACAAATCACTTACGATAAATATAACTGGGAAGGCTGGAGCAAATCTGGACATCTTGGTAGAGAATATGGGCCGAGTCAACTTTGGTAGATACAATAATGACTTTAAGGTAAGTAAAATCAATTGAGTTAATGGATTGTGGTGACTTTTCTTCTTTTTCACAGGTTAAAAAGTAAGTAGTAGATTAGAGCAAAAAGATCAGGCCTACACAACTGCAACTTTACCTCAAAATATAACTACTCACTAGTTTTCATATGAGTTTTTCCAGTCACCAAAATCGATGTGGAATTAAAAACTGACAGACATATTTTATTTTTTTTTCTGTTGTTCTTAGTTCACTTTTGTTGTCAGTCAGTGTCACCCACAAGACTTTCAGGTTGAGTTGAGCTGGTAGCTAACATTTTTAAATGTGCAAAGCTGTTTGGATAAACTCCAAAAATGGGTTGGAAATCAGTCTAGGTCTTGGTAGTACTTCAAGGTTTGTGAATCCTGGGGTTGTATTTGTGTGTGTGTGTATATACACTTCCGTATGTCTCTCCATGTCCCATTTAATTTGTCATCAGCATACTCTTGCAGTATTTTTAGTGCGGCTAGCAAAGGCTGTGTCATGAGCACTTTACCGTGAAAAATTGCTGGTTCAGACTTGGACTGAACAGGTGTTAGAGATAATTATCAGAAAGCTTCTGAATGATTCTGAGTTCACGCTACACTTTGGGACTGTCACTTCCCTGCAGGAGTGGCTGTGCTGGGTTGACTTTGCCTGGCCACCAGATGCCCACCAAGCCACTGTATCACTCCTGCTCCACCAACAGGACAGGGGGAGAAAATATGACGAAGGGTTTGTGGGTTGAGATAAGGACAGGGAGATCACTCAGCAATTACCGTCACAGGCAAAATGGGCTCTACTCGGGGAAATCAATTTATTGCCAATTAAACAGAGTATGATAATGCAAAATAAGAACAAATCTTAAAAGCACCTTTCTCCCCCCCCTCCCTTCTTCCCAGGCTCAGTTTGACTCCTGATTCTTCTACCTCCTCCCTGCCAGAAGTGCAGGGGGATGGAGAATGGGGGATGTGGTCAGCTGATAACACTTCGTCTCAGCCATTCCTTCCTCCTTACACTCTTCCCCTGCTCCAGCATGGGGTCCCACCCACAGAAGACAGTCCTTCTTGAACTTCTCCAATATGAGTCCTTTCTATGGGCTGAAGTTCTTCATGAACTGCTCCAGTGTGGGTCCACTACGGGGTCACAGCTCCCGCCAGAAAACGTGCTCCAATGTGGGCCCCTCACCACAGGCCACAGCTCCTGCCAGGAGCCTGCTCCAACGCGAGCTCTCCACAAGCTCCAGCTTTGTTCAGGACACATCCACCTGATCTGGTGTGGGGTCTTCCACAAACTGCAGGGTGGGAGATCTGCTCTACCATGGACCTCCATGGGCTGAGGGGGGACAACCTGTGTCACCACAGGCTGCAGGAGAATCTTGGCTCTGATGCCTGGAGCACGTCCTGCCCCTCCTTTGCTGACTTTGGTGTCTGCAGGGCTGTTTCTCTCCCATTTTTCTCCTCTCTCACAGCTGCTACACAGTTGTTTGTTTGTCATTGTTGTTTTTTGGTGTTTTTTTTGTTGTTTTTTTTTTTTTTTCCCTTTCTGAATATGTTATCACAGAGGCACTACCAATATCACTGATGGGCTCAGCTTTGGCAGGTCTGTCTTGGAGTCTACTGGAAATGGCTACTTCCAACGTGGGGGCAGCTCTTGGCATCTTCTCACAGAAGCCATCCCTGCTACTGAATCCTTACCATGTAAACTCAACACAGTGGAGGTGCCACTCATGTAATACTAGGAAGGGTAGGGGCAGAAAGGAAACTTTTCTGGTTTTGGACTTAATGGGATCCCCAGTGCTGTGTGATAGTTGCTAAAGAGAGCAATATTGTAGAGGCCAATCTTGTGTTGTGTTTGTGTTCAGTACACTATTTTCCCAGTTTTTTATATTAGTAGGCTACAAGTAATAGTGAAGTAGTTACAAAACTTTGCAATTAAGAGATTTGCAGCCCCCTAACTGTTAGATCTGACTTGGCCTAAATTGGTTTGGTGATGTTCTTTCAGAAAGCTTGTCAAATGTTTAATGACTGTCTAGATTAATAGCTGTATGGTGCCTTTTGGTTCTAGGGTGATGCCAGGTAAATTAGAAGGTCCTGTGTCATTTCAATCTAAATTCTGTCTGTGATGGGTGTCTCAGAGCAGAATTACAATTTGTCCAGAGTGTTTCTTGGTTAGTTTGGATGCAAGAGCAGGAGAAAGATAAACATCACAGGAAAGACATGCCTGAACAATACCATTTAGTTACCAAGAAGAGGCATGTATGCTATGATGAAGTCAGATTTTTTTTTTTTTTTTTTTTTATGTCTAGAAGTAGAGAAAAAAGTAAACCCAAGTGAATGCATTTTGACTAGCCTAGTTGATGAGGGCACAAACTGTGGTCAAGTTTGGGCCTGTTTGAGAATCAAGTTCAGTCATAAAACATAGACTGGGAAGAGATTTGTAAGATTGCCAGTAGGCAGAAACTCCCATCCTCACACTTGTGTTTTGCTGCTGTGCACAGGATGGGCCTGTTTGCTTTGTTGAAGAAGGATATATGGGTTATGATTAAGCAGCATAGAAGAATTGAAGCTGAGACTTGGTTTAAAGGAGTCTAATTGACCAGTTATCTTATTCTTCAGTGTATTGTGGTGAGGATTTCTAGGTGTATCTCCAAGTATGCTGAGACTCTAGTCAAGGCAAGACAATGTACTTTCAGCATTTGCTAAGCTGGTAGCCTACAGGCTTTCACCATATTGAAAAGCAGTTTCCCCTCCCTTACATTTTGGGAAGCATTCAGTTTTTTAAATCCTAATAAGAACAAGCTAAATACATGTGGAAACTTTTAGGATGTATGAAGGCCTCAGATTTAAAGCATCAGCAACTGAGGATTTTCTGTGCTTGTGGCATATAAATTCAGCGGGTAGCAATGGTGCCACCTCTGTTCATACTGTCTTTTCAAGGTACCTTGCCTTTATCTGAGTAGCAGGAGAGGGCAGCTAGTTCCTGTGTTTTGCCTTCATGTTGAGGCAGCAGAAATGTTGTGTGTATTTATTTATTTGATAACAGGCCAGGTGATAAGGAAACCTGTGTGCTCAGTGCTAAATTAAGGTAACAGAACAGAGGCTGGATTAGGGAGGTATTCAGTATTGTTGTGGTTGAGCTGAAATTCACACTTATACCAGAGTTTCAACCTTTTAAAGATTTAAGAGTGAAAGCAAGTTGAGTAGACATGGGCATTGTGACAATAATCTCCTAAAAGCAGAATCCCTCTGTGTAGATGATGTAGCCTTTCTTGGGTAGCTTTGGAATATGTGCATTGCTTCTTCCTATAAAATCCCTCCCTCATGCTGTTCTTCGTGTTGATTTTGAATACTTGGAATAATTATACCTTGGGTTTTAGATATTTCATGCTTTCAAAAATAACTTTAGGGGAAGAGGTTCCTACCTCATAAAGCCTTGCATTTCTAAGCAAATAGAATAGCTTTTCTGGATTTTGTTTTACTGATGGTTTTTTAATCACTTTTTTTGAGCTTGAAATGGAACTAGGTATCTAGCTTTTGGGAAGGAATCTTAAAAGGATTTTGGTTTTAAAACATCCTGCTGATCTAAGTCTTGTTATTGAAAGACACAAAGGAAGGAAGAGTGTAGTTTCTGTTTTTTCTGTATTTTTTCACATGCTCACTGCCACCTCTGTCTTTGGAAATATTATATCTATATCTGGACTGTTGAATATGCATTCTTATGCAGACCAAAGTAAGAATGCTTAGTAAACCCTTCATCTCATTTGAAAAATCACAGTGTTTGTAGTGCCCAAAGATGGGCTTAGGGATGCAGGTTGCTTAGGGATGCAGGTTGCTTAGGGATGCAGGTTGCTTAGGGATGCAGGTTGCTTAGGGATGCAGGTTGCTTAGGGATGCAGGTTGCTTAGGGATGCAGGTTGCTTAGGGATGCAGGTTGCTTAGGGATGCAGGTTGCTTAGGGATGCAGGTTGCTTAGGGATGCAGGTTGCTTAGGGATGCAGGTTGCTTAGGGATGCAGGTTAGAAAGTCTGGGCTAAAGTTATGTTGCATTACTTCAGTTGATTGCTAGACAGAGTAAAGTCTAGGCTGTGTGGAAAAATTTTGCCACTTAACTCTGTGCAGATATAAGATTTTGATATAAGAAAAATATGTTCCTGTTCTGTAAAGTGGACACTGAGGTAAAGGAAGAGGAAACTGATTAGTGCTTGCTCTGATGATGAGGCTTGTGAAGTTAGTGTGATGCTTATTAGACATAAGAACAGGCACACAAAGTAGTGTCTATCAGCCCTCCAAGGCCATTGAAAATGTGGTTTTGCTTGTTCCCGTTCGACATGTGGTGTTTGCAACAGAATTTAAGTTGCACTGAAAACCAGCTTTTATTCAGGGTCTGTTCAAGTGACTATATGGCTGTAGCAGCACTGATTTAGAACCAACCCCCTGCATTGTGCTGAAACACCACTTTAGGAACTGTTATTATAACACAGTTAGGACGTGCGCAGGGGTAACTTAATGTTCCTTCCACTCATCTTAAATCACAACCTTACCTTGGTTTTGCATTCAGTGTGTGAGTACCCTGGTGTGCTGCACACATGGTTCCGTAGAAATGAAACAGGACTTTGTGGGCTTGAAGCTGACTGTAAGCTTAAAGTATTGCACTGAATTGGGGTCACAGAGCATGTGCCTTGATTTTGTGATACTGTATGTTAGCTGTAGAAGATTTGTGGGAAGTAAATACTGCTTTCTCTGCTATTGTGCAGGTTAATGTCTTGGGTTAGTGACTCAGTGTTACCCCAAATCTCTTGATGGTATCTCAGACTTACGATATTTCATGCTTTTTTTGCACTTTTTGTTACGCCCCAGGTTTTGTAATCATGTTCATGTTAAAGCAAAACAGAATTTTTCAGTTACGGCAAAGAAGTTTGAAAAAAAAAAAAAAAAAAATTGGGTGTCAGTGAAAGCTCAAAACTTTGAAGAGGAACAGATCGTTCACAGAGAATAAATGAAACCCTTTTCTTAAGCAAAGCTTATAATTTGGTGAAGACCAGATGCTTGGTTTTTTTCATACACATATTGGCAGCTGTTGCAAGTATTTTGATTCAGTTTTTATTCCTAACTGATTTATAGTTGCAGCCAAATAACTTCAGTAACATGAAACTAATTATGTTATATTTTGGGTTTGGTTTTTTTCTTCCTCCCAGGGTCTAGTTTCAAATTTAACTCTTGATCAAGATACACTTGGCGAATGGGAAATCTATCCTCTAGACATAGATGGAGCAGTGAACCATGACATTAATGGCCACCTTGATCAACCAAAGAGATCTTTTGGCAATCCACTGAGTTATGAAGCACCTACTTTTTACACTGGTAGACTTTTGATTCCTGGAGGGATTCCAGACTTGCCTCAAGACACCTATATCAAGTTTCCTGGCTGGACAAAGGTACAACTTTTTGCTGTAAAAACTTGAAGCTCAGAAAGCTACTGAAACTTCTATGGACTACCGAAGTCCACCTCTCTTGGATAGGTGGAAGTTGGTTGTAGTGATGGGGTGTCTCAAATCTATTTAAATGACTAGGAAAGGGATTCCTTACTTTAAGTAAATCTGGAGATAATCTATTAAGAGAAGGGAAACATATTCAAAAGATACATGGTATTGGTCTAGAAAGTGGAGCATCATAAAAAACCCAACGCCCCTAGTTTTTCAACAGGGAGAAAGGTGAAATGTCAGGCTATTTAGAAATGCTGCATTTAGTTGTGAGTTTTTGGTCTTGAGATGTGGAGCAGAAACAGCTTTTTGGAGGGAGGGAGGGAATACATGCCTTGAGATAAAATAATTTTTTTTCTAGAGGAAGTGAGATGCTACAGGACACTTTCCTGATTATATTAATTGATTAAAAGTAACTAAGAACATATTTGCGGTGCTGTGTGAGGATTTACAGGTCTTGTTACAAAGCACAGAGAGGGTGTTGGACACAACTACTGGTGTTGTGCCCATAGATACAGATCCAGTGCATGGAAGATGTTAGTTAGCGCTTGTCTTCTGGAGGTTACCCGTAACTGGACTGACAGAGCAGAGAGCACTGCCGTGAGAAGCCTGTGGGCAGAGCTGTTAACGGGCACTTCTCGTCGGGCTGGAGCATAGCTAGAGCAGCAAGGAGGGTGTTCTCACAGTGCCGTGTTTGAAACAGCCAGCGTGCAGGATGGGTAAGGACCAGTTCAGCTAGCTGGTGGGAGGCGCAGAGAACAGAATGCACGCACTGAAGTGCCCCTCCTCTTGGAGGCCTAAGTGTTTAAGTCCAGGCGTCATGGAAGCACCTGTGAGAGTGTTAGGTAGCAAAATTATTCCTTTCTGAAACAATTAATTTAATGCTATTAAAATAGAGTAGGAGAAGGAGTTGCTGGTGATCTCTCTACAGTGCTGTAGTGGTTAAAGCACTTCCCAATATGCAGAGGGCTGTGATTCATTGCAGTCACTTAGTGTTGCTGGCACTGAGCTTGGATAAGGAAGTCAGACTTAGTCCCCGTTCCTATATATGTGCACATCTTGCACAATCACTACATAAAATCAAAAAATAGCTCTTTGCACAGGAATCGGAATCTGAGCCTTTTGCAGTAAATTCTGTGAACCCATGAATCCTAAATCTTCTTCAGGAAGTGAGATGATCATACCTGCCTGCTGACAAACTCACCTTTGAAATGACAAATGAGTCCAAGAATTCTTATGTATTGGTGGAAATCTTTTCCTCTGATCTATAGAAATCTCTGATTTACATAGTTTGTATACCCTCTAAAGCAGTCAAGGTGAAGAGATCCCAGATGAACTATAAGTGGGGCAATTGAATTGATCCTTCAAGCTTTATATGGCTTGGACCAAAGTTTTAAATAAGATACCGAGGAGTAATAAGATTGAGGTGATACTGGATGTGAAAACTGAGACTTACAGATAACTACCAGTGAGCAAATGCCTTTAAGGCAGAAGGCCTTAAGGGTGTAAATTCCACTCACATCCACTACATTAATTCCTTGAGTGGAACTGTATAAATTGCTGATGCCAGGGTATGAAGAGGGACTCTTAATAGGGATTAAAACTCACCTCTGAGTAGTTGGAAAACCATGGAAACAACACTTAACAAGAAAACATATAGTTCTAATGATGGTCCTGCCTTTGCATATTAAGATAAGGAATATGGCATCCTGGACAGCCTGGAAGGGGATGGTGCAGCATTAACAGTCATGACCTATGTTGTAGCTTGCTTGCCTTCACCAGTTTTTAAAACCATTTAATATTCAAACTTCTTCCACCCTCACTTGAGGAAGCGTGATGCCCTTCAGTGTACATGCAGCTGATAGTATGGTTAGATTTATCAGATTTTTTTTTCTTTTTAACAGAAAAGAGGATTTGAAGTTAGGACTATTCTTGATTTCTGTGGAATCATGGGTTGTAGTTGCTGACACTGCTAAAGGCTATCTTGTTACTGAAGATAAAAATCCCCTACTCCTTCGTTTTGCCTAGGGCATATTTATTGGTAGTGTGTATAGTGTTGTGATTTGATGGTTTAGGGCGTACAAATTCCTGAGTGTGCAGTCTTTAGAAATTTAAGTGTTAATAACATCAGTTTGGAGTTGAGAAGTTCATAGCTTTACTGAAAAAATTAGTTACAACTAGTGACCGATTAAGATCAGAAACAGAGACCTGTTTAATCACACCTCCTGCATTAGAACTCTAATGAAATTGATTCCTACAGTAAACTCCTACTTCCCACAGGGTTACAGTCACTCTCTGTAATAGTCTACTGTCTAGTGGGTACACTCAGTAAATTCATCTTGGGTGTGGGGAGGTCGCATTAATGCCATGTTTTCTTCTAAAACTGCTACAGAAGCAAGGTAGTGAGCTTGAATAAATAGCTCTTCTCTTGCCTTTTAATACAGCAAAAACAAGCCACACGGCAAGATAAACTTGATTTAAAAAAAAAAAAAAAAAAAAGTTTGAGGTTAAAGTTTATTAACACCTTGGCAGAACTGTGCAAGATAGGATCTTATACCACGGAAGTGGATACGGAGCTGAAATAACTCACCTGCATTTGCAAATGTACCTACTCCTTATAAAATATCTCGTGAGCTTCATAAAATTTGTTTTCATAAATACTTGGAAGAGAAAGCACGAGAAAAATACCCCCAAAACAGCTTGAACAATACTTACTATATTACAATTGTGCTTCTGTAAATCCTTTAAAATTATTATTCTGATTTCAGCTATCCCAGACAACTTTAGAAATCACTGAGTGCAGTAAAAGTCCTTACTTTCCACTGATTCAGACTATTTTATTATTTTTTATCAGTGTACATCAATGCCATGAGTTAGTTTTGGTTTTCCTCTATATTCTGATTAGCAAAGGCCAAAGCAAGAGGGAAAACACAGATGCAGTTATCTATTCCCATCCCTTTTCTTGTCGACTGAACCTCTTGTCTGACATGGTGAAAGGACGCTTAGGAGAAGTAAAAGCAAATTATTTGTCTAAATCAGCTGTGTATCTTCCCTTCTGTCTTGCTTAATGAACCAAGATTCAGCTCGGCTCAGTAGGAGTCTATTTACAGTTTTAACATTCTGCAACTCACCAGTTTACAGACTTTTGAAAAAATCTGCAGTTATGTCATTTTAATGTGTTTAATTTGTGGTGTATAAATAACTGGTTTGACTTTTCTTTTTCCCCTTGTCCAATTTTGTTTTATCTTTTGAACTTAAGGTATTTATAAAGTTAAAGTATTTTGAACTCGGGTTTTTGGCCACATCCATTGTAAAAAGTAATTTAAAGAGTTTGTATGCCAACTAAAGCACTATTTCATTGAAGTTAGATTAATACTAGCAGACCCCTAAAGATTTTAATGGTTGTAGGTAACTACAAAAAAATACAATACTTTCTTGCATTGTGATTTCATAAGTTCTTTTGTTGATTAAGCTACTAAAAGTATAACAGACATCTGAATTTCTTGTGTCTAGACAAGCAGTATCCTTTTCATGAAATCATACAACAGGAAGGGGCTACCAAGGTAGTATAGTCTTACAGTTGTACAGAGATCCAGACAGAGTTAGGATCTGCTTTTTTCTTTTGTGAGTTCTTTCTCCCTTTAACAATCAGCTTCAAGCAAATACAGTTTTCACATTTGCTTTGGTCTTAAACTTGGTGCAGAATTCAGTGCCAGGAACCTGCAATTCTGTTTTTCTAAGTATTGTCATATTTGGAATTACTGCAGTATTTGACCACCTTCTTTTTAAATATTAATGATGACTTTAACTCAGCAGGGAATTTAGATTCTTTTGACTGTCATTAGCATTTTCTTGAACAGATTTTCTTTCTTTTTGTTCTATCAAACTGAAAGATAGAGTTATATCAGTTACTATGTGAAGAGCATTATGCTTAAAGCTGTTTTGTTCCTTGATCTCTTTCAAATTATTAAAATATTTTTTCTTTCTCTCTTAACAGGGGCAGATTTGGATCAATGGCTTTAACCTTGGTCGCTACTGGCCAGCTCGTGGTCCTCAGTTAACCCTTTTTGTTCCAGGGAATATACTTGTTTCGTCGATGCCAAACAACATAACGGTGTTGGAGCTGGAACATTCTCCTTGCAGCACCCAAGAGTGCGAGATAGAATTTGTAGACACACCTAATATCAATGCAACCACCCAGTATGAAAACTATGCCCCCCAACTCTTTGTTAGAGACATACGGATGAACCATCTATAATGACTTGAGTATTTCCTTATCTTCCCCACACTTTGCTTCCTTTTCCCTCAAATCGTACTTCCCTTTTTTAATGACTCAAGTGTTAATCAGTAAGTTGTTTAGCCGAGGCAACTTCTTAAATTCTTCAAAGACCCCTTTTTTTTTTTTAAATCTGCTGGAGTTAAATACTGAAATTCTCTTAAAAAATAAAAGCTGTAGCTTTAGAATTTGCCTTGGACTGTGAAATTGAATTCAACTGGAAGATGATGTTTGCATCGGTCTAGTAAAAATGTAGTCCTTGTAGGCTGCTTACATTACAGTAATATATACTTTTTATATTATACTTTTGGGTTTCTACCATGTTTTGCAACTGGAAAGGAGCCTACAGAAGGGGTGCACACTCCTGCTAGCATGCAAGTTTTACTCGTGGACTGGTAGATCAGCGTTGCCAATAGACACTTTCATCTGATTGTATCACCTGGTTAGTGTCAATATTATTTTAGTCTGAATGGGCTCACTTCCAGCACTGAGCAGACCTCTTTTTTTCAAATGCAAGCTCATCCAAACAGCAGTAACGTGGAGAGGGACCTTGTAGTCTGCATCTGTTCCATCTTGGAAAGCCAATTTACTGCTTTCCTTCTGCTATCTCTGAAGACTTTAAATAAATTGATAAGTGCAAGGACATATGTAAAATTTAGGCTGTTTTGGTTGGACCGTAGCCTCTGACTAACGTGCCTGCAGAATGTAGGTTTATAATGAGCCATTTTTCCTTTAATGGATCCTTTTTTTTTTTTAAAGGACCTGAAATACCTATTTTTCATAGGCCAGCACCTTGGAAGTAGAAGGCTTTAATTTAAAGAATTTTCATTCTCTTTTCTTCATCAATTCACATCTTCTGTTTTGTTCCAGTAAATTGATCTTTGAAAGTGCCTGATATTTGCAAAGATGCACAGTCTCTGTCAGTAAAGCTGACTTTCTACAGCAGACTGAAACTTCTTTTTGATTCTTATGGTTTTGATGTCAATCATGTACACTCCTTGGGGAGATTTAAACAACAAAAGATTAAGATTATGAAAGTACTTGATTCCATCATCTGTGATTTCTTCATTTGATTGTTGTCTGACACTATTAAAATGGTTCTTTAAAGTTTAAATCCTTCCTGTATGTTTGAGAAGGAAAAAGGGAAGGAGGAAGAGTTATGAGCACTCACAGTATTAAGGGAGAAATGAGGTTGTAAAGTCTCTGTGGACAAGGAGTTATTCTTGTTGATGTCTCATTTGTTTTCTGTTACAAAGATGTACAAAGCAGCTCTCATGGGCTGTGTGGACCCTGGAGGTGCCACCCTCTTCTGAGATGGCCAGTGCAAAAACCTGACTATTTCTTCTCAACTGATGAGGACTAATACTGTCACCAGCAGAGAGAGTGAAAAGGAGCACTACTCGCTTGAGCAGCTACATCTCTGCTAGGTGTTTGATGGGTTTTCAAACCAGACACAGGCAGTTCACCTGAGCCAGAGAGCTTCTACTCTTAAATTCTCACCTCAAATGCAAAGTCTAATAGCTGCAGGCTGTGTGTTCAGTACCAGACATGCTTCATTCTTGGAATGAAGTGGTCTGCTCTGACCCCAGATTTTTATTTTTTCTGGCACCGTTCCTATGCAGACCCCAGAGCATGCTCTGCAAGCAGTTTATTATGAAGTATTAATTACCTCGGAGCCAGGCCTTGGAAGTAAGGAATGGAACATAGTTTCATACCAGTTGTGTGGTTTGTGGCTTGAGGTGTGTAGAATGACACTACTATTTATGTATTATTCCTACAACAGTTCAGTGCTTTAACAGCCAGAAGTATTTTTATGTTTCTGGCAGCGAGTACTGTGAGGGGAATGGCTCTCATTCTAACTTAATTTCATTTTACATTTTACTTGTGAGAATGTAGTGTAATCCATGAGACTTCACTTTTTGCCATAACTGTGTAATATCACAAAGCAGAAAGACTTTGCATCAAGGATTACAAACATTCATCTGATTAGACGTAAGAACAACATGGGAAGAACAGGCTTAAAGTTTTTCAAGTAGGGCTCTAGATAGCTTCGTTAACACACCAGCCTATTTGCTGCTTTCAGTGAAATAATCTCTTGCCTACAGAAAGGAACTGAAAGTTGGGGCCCTGATTCCTAATCCTGATCTGCCTACGTGAAAACTCTGCTAGAGGTTGCCAAGCCTTGCGGTATGTATTTGAGTATGCAGAAGGGAGGTCTCAGTGACAAGGGGCCTTTGGAGCCCGGTGCTGCCAAGAAGAGCCTGTTGCCACTTGCTGCTGCTTTACCCAAGGATGTGTCTGTAGGTGCTGTGGCAGGGTGCAACACACCGGGTCACCGTGCCCACACCGCTGCTGCTCCTACAGGGTGGTGCTCCTGGCTTCCTAGCCTTGGCCAGCAGTCCTCCTGGGACTGAGAATGTGATACAAAATGGGACAGCCTGGCATTTGCTCCTTTGCAGTCTCGAGCAGGTCAGTTATTTTAACCTATCCTCAAAACGTAGTTCTGCAGCCGTGTCCGGGGGTGGAAATTAAATCAGAATGAAACTTTCTGGCTGAGGGCACATGCATAGGAGAAAAGGGACTGCGGGGAGGTAGCTGGCTCAACTTGACCCAGTGGTGAAGGCACTGGTGAGTCTAGCTTCAGTTTGGTTTTGAAGGACATAGTGTGAAAACATTGTCAGACCCCTGGCAAATATCAGTGGTGTAGCTGTGTGGTCTGTTCCAGATGCTGAAGCTCAGTGGGATGGTCTGTCTGGTGGAGCCAGTTGCCTCCTGAAGGCAGGGCAAGAAGGAATGTTCCTAATGCTAAAATTGTGGCTCTTCAAATCTCCCCTGCTGCCAGTCCTTGGGAATTTGCAAGTGCTTTGCTGACACAGCAGCTGAATAATGGGCACGGTATTCTCTGATTTCAGCAGACCAGTGCAAACCTGGGATTTAGTCAGAATCAGTCTGTAATAAGTGGAGACTTTACACTGGTCCCATCTGGAAGGTAGGTGTGATGTCTGCAGTTCTGTAGGGGAGTGCCATTTGAAATCTGCCTGTAAAGTGTAGCTGTAGGGGCTTAGCTTAGCACAGATATTTTTTTCCAGCCCTGGAGTGGGATTTGGAAGCTTAGACTGCAATCCTGCCTACGCATGAACGAAGGCCTTTAAATGTGATTACTGGGTTATATGAGCAAGTAGGTGAACATGAGCGGGTGAATAGGGTGAACTATATGGTTGAATTCTTTCTTAACCTATGTATGAGACTACCCTTTCCCTTTATATATTCATAATACGGCTATCTTTGTAAGTGTTGATCAACATTTTACAGTCCCTGAGTCACAGGGTTGAGACTTGACCTTGTCCGTACCCCTTTAGACTCTCCGTGCCCTTTGTAATTCTGTGCAGGCAGCTCTCCCTGCCTCTGGGCTCTTCTATCTCTTTGGGGGCTCCACAGTGCCTATGGTTTTCTCTTGCAGTTTTTTGATGAAATACTCATATGTTTGCACAGTTTGAATGTTTACAGGAGTCTAAGGACAGCAAGCACTATCCACCTGACAAATGTCGGGTGTTCAGAAATGTCAATTAGAGAAGAAGAATCCTGTGTTTAACAGTGTGATCTGAAGGAAGTGATACTGTATTTTCCAGGCTGAGAAGGTGACCTGTTAACAAAACCCTAAGTTTGGACTGCGAGGGGAAGGAATCTACTCTCTTTGGACAGACTTGGTCACTTTGATATAATCAGGTGGCTGATGACTACTGCAGTCCCCTTGTATTCTCATTTTGAATGTATTGAAATCACTGGGGACAACGGCATCTCTGTATGTATAAAATGGATATTCTGACAATTTCCCTAGGACATTCTTCCTAGAAATCAATACATACTTGAGCAAATAGCTCACAGTGCTGACAGATCTGAACCTGAGCCTCTGACAGAAGTTTGGTTATTTACTGGTTGTTGTCTCTGTACCAGCAGGAAACTACTTGAGTATGTTCTTCTGTTAACTGGATGACTGGGTTTACAGGAATTTTGAGAGGTGCAGAACAACATAGAGAAGACTCAGCAAGGATGTGAAAGAGTGACCAGGTCCTGAATGACCTGGTCCAGGTGCTGCAGCAGCATTTTTGGTTTTTTTTTTTTTTTTTTGAAAGAAATGACTGTGTTGCAAGAAAGCTGTCTTGCAGGCCAGGACTTGAGTGTGGTAGCCAAACTTGAGGTCCTGGCTGGAAGATAGCATGAAAAAAGTAACTGGAAACTGCAGAAGAATGGGATCTGCTTTGATGATTCTCCTTCAATGAGAAAGCAAAACTGAGCAGGAAGAGATGACCTTGGGACTTTATGGAAAGGGCTGAATGGAAAAATGTTGGAAAAAAATGTCACAGGGATCTTTGTCATGCTTTTGCCAAATAAAGTGTATATGTTTAAAATTCCCTTTTCAGATGATATTTTCTGTTGCTTGTTACGTTATCAAAGATGGGAGTAGTAGTGAACCAGAGACCTCAGCTTTGGGGGAAGTCTTGAAAGTGTGTGTTACCTACAAGAGGTTTCACAGTGCTTGTTTCGGGCCCTTGGTAATGCAATCCCCTTTCAGTAGGATATATGGTCTTTGTGGCCAAGGAAATTGGGATGTATTTAAGAATTCCTGTTTTGTACTTTAGCACATACTCCTGTCCTTCAGGAGCCAAGCATATACAGGACTCCGAAGTTGGGGTCTTAACAAAGTCCCACTTTTAAGTCTGTAGCGTTGTAATGGGAAGCACAGTCTTGCTCATGAATCTCCCCAGCACACGCTCATAGCAGACTCTGTACAAGCATCATGGTAAGTTCTCTATCTTGCACTTTGGTGATGTGCTTACGGCTGCATGACTGTTATTTAGACTTTTGTCAAATTTTTTGTTAGACATTGAGGAAATAAAAGACTCCCTAATGAAATTGGGAATTGAGTTTGAAACTCCAACAGAAGGGGCCTTTAAGTAGAGTGGATCTGTTAAATACTAGTGCAAATCCAATGCAGCTAGTATCTGTGGTTTGAAAGGATTTTTCTGTTAAGTTTCCTTATTTGTTTTAAGTGTACGCACTAATTTTTTTAACTTGGTGCTTCTGTAGGGCTCATGCTTCTATACTAATATTAACTGAGCATTTTCAGAACTGTCTCTGGCTGTCGGCCAAAGCGCAGATCTGAGCACACTGTGGGGAAATGCCTCGCAATTGAGGGTTATCCCTCTAATGCTACAGCTAAGAAATAATTCTGCTCTGTTTCCTGTTTCATTCTTCCCCAAGTCTTTCTGGTTATTCTCACACCAGAGAAGTCTTATGTGTAGAGAAACTAAAAAAATTTCCTTTAGTGTGTCTTTGGTTGTCTGAAGCGGAGTCTGTCCACCCCTTCCACCTATCAGTTGTTAGTTTGCAAGCTGGATGAAGATGTTTATGCCTTTCTCCTTTCTCCCAAATGCCATTCAGAGGTTCCTTTTCGCAAATCCCACAAATCTTGGTCATGTGCACAGAGTGAACACTCTTTACGGATCTAAATTTAGCTGGAAGTCTCCCCTGGTTGTGGATTTCTGCAATAACACTCTCCACAGCACTTGCCTTTGGAGAAGGTGAATGGCTGTGTTGTGTGGTGGTACGGGATCTTGACATGCTCCTGCGCTATGGATGAAGGGGCCTTCTGAAGCATAGGTAGAATTGTTATGGAGAAGGAGGAAAATAAACTGAGAACTTACTCTTAACCCTCCTCATGTCCTGTCTGTTGCTGAGCTTTAGGCTGTGATCTTTCTCCTGTTCACTGAGAACATTAGTTGCTGTTTTCACAGCAGGCATGTATGGGATAAGAAAGAAGCTGCACAGAAGGAGAAAAACACTAATTTCTTGCCTCCTCCATGTTAAATTTTATTTCTGGATGTTGAAACACTCTGCTGTACCAGTGAGGCTTCCCAGAAGACTTTAGGCTTTAAGATGGGTCTGGATCCTTTGCACATTCTACATACGTTCTTTCAAGCTTTCTGCCTCTTTTTTCCCTTAGTTTTAGGATGTGGTTTGCACTAATCATGAATAGCTAGATCCGGTGCACTGAAGAACCTGAGAAAGAACCTAGTACTGAACTTGTGAGGGGTTAGCATGATTTCCTGCAAAATTTTGTTGAAGTGGTGACTTCTGCTACTGTGCATTCTTCTGTTGCTCTTTTGGTCCTTTGATCCAGAGCAGTATCTACTTCAGAATCTGAAGTTAAGGCAATGTGAGTCTTCTGACTATAGCCAAATGTAGACACTTGCAGACATGACTTTAAATAAAGCACAGAGTCCACCTAGCTCGTGTTGAAATAGAAGAAAATTGCTGCTGGTTGGTACCTGCTGGAGCAGGTCTTTTTTTACTGTTTCAAGTCTAACCTCTCAGGGCTGTTTGCTTTGACTGAAAGACTTCAGAGGTGTTGAAGAAAACCTAGAGCTTCTACAGATCATTTCTAATTTTAACTATCTGACGCAGAGACGGTTGGTGTTTTCATATTAGCCAAATTTTGGATCCCTCTTAATGCCCTTTGTTGGAAAAAAAGGGATACGCCACACCCCACCACTCCCTCAGAATTAAGCTTGTTCACCCATCCTAGGAAATAAAAAAACTTGGACAGAAAGTGACAGTAATTCAGAAGTAAGAGGAGGTAGCTATGTTGAAATCGCCCAAAAGGCGCTTTTTTTTTTTTAATTCTGAAAAACCCAATCTGTGCAAAGACACTGAAATGAGATTCCAGTAGTAGCATGCTTGACTTGCATGAAGTTTTACTGCTGTTCCTGTAGGTATAGTGTGAAGTGCTGAAACGGGATGTTTAAGCACTACGGAGATAGAAGCAAACAAGAATATTCAGTGTTACAAGACATGCTCGGGGTGAGACGCTTGGTGAAAGCATAATAATGTGTCAGGTAAATAGTGGGTTTGTTGTTTTTTTGTTAAATTCTTTTTCTTTTTACAAGCCCAAGCAGGTTGACAGTGGAGAAAAAACATAACTTCCCTTTTAGTGCCTCCAGCCACCAGCAGCCAGCTACAGGCTGTGGCCTTACATCTCACTGAACTGGCAAAGGTGAATAATGCTGAGCTCTGTAGCTTGCAGATTTTCATAGCTACAAGTGAAAGATTTTACGTGAAAGAAAGGAGGTAAACTGGGGTGAAGGATGAACTCTCCTGGCTGGATGTGCTGGGTGGGGAAAATATCTCCAAATCCTAACAAAAATCTGCATAACTGCAAGGTTGTGAATATCCATAGCTGTGCTGGTATTTGCTCCTCAATTGCGTATCATTGTCTTGTCTTCCATTTTATCCTTGCAATTCAAGGTAGAAACCATGCTTTTTCTGACAGTCCTTGATATGCATCAGGTATTTTCTGTTGTTCACCAAACAATAAGGCTAGATGATGCTTGGTTTGGTTTCACTATGGTTTCTGGTAAGAAAATACCTTCTTCAGAAATAAAACCATGCTCTTTCACTTGTCCTGCGAGGTGGGTGAAAGAACTTTCAGGGATTCACACAGTTTCTCCTGTCTCTGTGTAATGAGTTTGTCAAGGGTCTGCCCCACTGGTGCAGCACATGAGAGTGCTTTTGTCTCAGAGGCTGAGGGCTTCAAAAATACACAGAGCTCAGCTCATGTTATTTGTTGCCCTTGTTTTCTCTTTCTCATTTAATAAAAGTGTGTTTTTTCATACAAGAATAATGGTACTGTGTTTGACTAAGGTCCATCTAGCCCTGTATCCTCTTTTGAAGGTGAGCATACCTGGTGATCTTTCTGAGTTTCAGCACCTGAAACTTAGGTGAAGTCTTTTTTTTCTTACTAAGTTGAGCTGGAATTTCAGTGCTTTTAAACTCTCTTCAGTAGAAGAGACTCGGTTTTGACCGCTGATTCAGCTGCTTACTGCTTGCTCACCATGACTCAGTTTGCAAAAAAAAAAAAACCCTGAACTCTAAAGCTCACACTCTGCAATGCAAACTGGTGTACAGCAACTGAGATTGTTTAAAAGCATCAGCTCCCTTTCAGCAACCTTGGTCTGTGCTCCACAGTGTAGTTTGATTTGGGGGGGATTACTCACTTATTGTCAGGCTGTATGCCTTCGTGAAAATTTGATGCTGGTTTGAGTTGGAAAAAATGTTCCTGTTCTTATGAAGTACTTCGTTTTTTCCTGCTACCTGTTTTAGTGTGTTCATGCAAATTGGTGAAACCCCCTGCTGATTACGAATGTCAAAACGTGAAGTAAATTGGGCAAGTAAGTCTAAAAGGGGTAGGGGCTTTGTCTGCAGACCATGATTCAGGACAACAATCACCTGTTGACTGAGAAATGCTAGGAAGAAATTGCTCAACACCAAAGGCTTTTTTTAGGATAATGCATTATGAAGTTGATTTCATCTTCTGTGGAAGGACATTAAACTTTTTCGGCTACGAGTAAAAAAAGTGTGCATGGTTCTTGATGTCTTGAGACAAGGCAAGAAATCTAGCAATGAATACCCAGACTTTTGTCTCTATAATAATAAATAATTAGTTTCATGGTAGTACTTTTCCTCTGCAAAATGCCTTGTTTTACAAAGAAGGGCAGAGTCTTGATTTTTATGTAGCAGATTCAAGAGCTGAGTTGACTGAGATCCCTGGAAGGCTGAAAGCAGAACCTTAAAAATGGCTTTTTTTTTTTTTTTTTTTTTTTTTTTTTTGGTTGGTTGGTTTGTTTCTTTGTTTCAGGGAGAAGTAAAGGATAAAGGTGCTACAGGCTTTTTTGGACATATCAACTCTGACCGATCGGAAGTGACAGACATGGTTGGGCTACTTCTGCCTGGTTTAAGTCTGCAGCCCAATACGATAAAGAAGCCAGTGCAGACAGTGGAAGCCATCTAGTAAGCTGCAGGTAATAAAATTTTTTTTTTGTTTTTTTTTCCTAAACACGACCATTGTGTGCACGAACGTGGCTGGGGCCAGTTGGGCTCTGCCCCCGTGCACCCCAGTCTGTCTGCGTGGGACTCGCTGTGTTCACAGATGCAAAGGAGAAACGTTCGAGGGGCACGTCTGGCTGGTGGGGCTGGACAAGGTCTGACTTCCCAGGTCCTCAGCCGCTGCTCCTCCTGGAGCACGCTCATCTCGCTTGTGCTGTTCACCGACCAGGCAGACGTGGCTTTTGCTGTGATGGATCTCACCGATTTTTATTATATTTTTTTTTTTTTTAAACTGCGTTTTGTTTTGCTTTTGCCAAAGCAGTAACTCTGTGGGATCTTGTGGCCTCAGGTCTAGAAAACATGGCAGATTTTTTTTAGGAGGTGTCACTAAAGTGAACATTGATATTAGCTACCTATTTGCTTTGTTGTTAGGCAGTACCAGGTTTTCCACAGCTATTTCTGTACAAGTAGTTGACATTTCTAGAGCTCTTTTTACATTTTTCCAGGAACTTGTAAGCCTATACAT